GTCCTAGTGCGATTAGAAGAGCTGGAGTGCGAAGTCGTCTGGAGTTCCAGCGGCGCCCATTGAAAGACCTGGTTACGTTGGTTTCGCAGACAAACTGTAAACCGATAACAACGTGGTCACTCCTGCCCAAAGGAGGAAGGAATTCTTCATTTGAGAATATAGTCTAAGAGAGATGGGGTTTGAGTCTCCCTTGATCGCGTTACCGTTCCCACATTTTCCGTAAGCCCCATTTCCCCAATCAGATGGAAGAATCGGGCTTCAATAGAATCCCACTCCCGCACAACGTGTGATCTACAGAATTAATCTTCGGTAGGTTAAAACCGCCTAAAATTAACCTGTGTGTGTGCCCCAGTTTAAGAGAGCAATTGGTTGCCTCTAGCATCTGATCATCATACTGTAAGTCAGCAGATGGCTTCCTATAAATGACTCCTACCAAGCACTTTATAGTCTTGGATAGCTTCATGGTACACCAAATGGACTCGTTGAGGCATTCCACTTAATGAATATGAATTTGGGGAAGTGAGAGAGAAGGGCTGACGTAAAGTTGTGCCCACCCTCCTACCAGCCTCCTTGTCGTTGAGAAACAGCATGCTGTTAACAATTGCTGGCTCCTGACTTGATACGTCAGGAGAAACCCATGTCGCAGTGACACAAATAAGGTGAGCGTAAGTAACCTTACTTAGTTCCTGCAGGTCGTCCAGTTTATTTGGCAAACTTTGTGCATTTGTATACATGCAATTTATGCTATCTACTTGTAATACACTTCCTGAAGCCTCTCTATTTTCCAGTTGGCTGCCGAAACCTCGGGCGTGGGGGCTGAGAACGTGCATAAGTGCTACTTACCAGTACAGTGTTCCCCGCCCCTTCTCCGTTTTTTGCATCTAAGCAGTCTTCCAGAGATACAAGTAGCTCCAACTTTTTTCTGTTTTCGTTGCAGCCTCTCGTTCTGCTACTTATCACGCTGCATGCGGAATCCAGATGGCAGGCGATTTCTGTTCGCCCAGAATGTCCTCAGTGTGAGCCCTACCATTTGAGAGGCCGGAAAGACCAGTTTGATCACCCTTAGTTTGGGGTCATCGTCCGTTTTGGGTATACGTGAAACGCTCAGGGTCATTACTCACTTGAAGTTCATATTATTCTTGAGGAACTTCCACTGGCGAGAATCGTAGTGAATTTTCTCGGTGCCTGGGTTTTCCGGTATGCCTTGTATTATAACGTTTCTTCCCCTAAAGTAAGCGTCACGATCGTCACCCGAGAGTTTCGTTACAGCCATTTCCCCAAAGTGTGAAATATCTGGTAGTATCCTCACCTCCTTTTCAGCTTTTGACACATGAGATACTAAGAAGACATCATCTGATTTGGAGACTGCAAGCCTTCTGAGTAGGGGCTTGCCCTTAGGTATTGGATAGGGACCGCCTAAGTGGCAGCCGTCGGCTTAATGCAGCCCAGCTCGAGTTTTCCGCGTATGTTCTTTCGGAAAACTCCATCGTCCTTTTCTTTGTGTCCGTATGGAAGATCGAATTTATCTGTCAGTATCAAGATGATCAAAGATTCATTACGGACAGTGATTATTTTGTCAGCTGTTGAAGCTAGTGCCTTCTTGCTGGACTTTCGCTTCTTCTTCAGCTTCCTCTTCATTCTTGGTTAGCTCAACTGCTTGTGAGACAAGCTAGCGAGCAGCTCGTATGCTTCATGTTCCGTTTGACTTTCTTGAAGACTCAGATTTCGTGTTCCTAATTTCGAGATCATTCTGCTTGGGTTTATTTTCCTGGCCATTCTGCCCTCCTAGATCAGATGGATCTCACTGGAATCGAAATCTGGCTGCTGTTATTTCGCACAGTCGATGTCCGTTCTCCATTTTCAGCATCCGGAGCGTTGAGAGTAACCTCAACTCAACACCGAGTGTACCAATCGACGCGGGAAAAACTCAACTGGGCCAGTTTCAACGGGACTGGCCAGCCAGTGGAAACCCTCACATCCAAACCTGTGCCACTAGTTAGCCCGGAGACATCTCACGTCACAAGAAGCACCTACAAGTGTCTCTGCAGCAACGTGAGAGGACCCCGAAAAATATGCGGGAAAGAAACACTAAACCAGTCATCCACTCGGTCTCAAAGAAAAGATTGTTTCTGAGCCTGGAGTTTAAAAGGAGACCTAGCATTGGATGTGCTGAAGAATCGTCTTACCAGATCAATCAGTAGGACTTTCTTCGCAGCAAGACTTCAGATGACTTTCACCAGCCGCAACCTATTCTCCACTTGCGTTAAGGACAAGCTTCCTCGTTCGCCCGCCTCTATGTGCATCTATCAGTTCACCTGCTCTTGTGGAGCAAGATACATCGGCCGTGGCCACAGAATGCTTTCTACACGTATACGAGAACATGTTCCTGCTTGGTTTTATAAAGGTGAAAGAAAGTCTGTTAGAAGTTCGATTCTAGAACATTTGATTGACTTCCATCACACAACAAATCCAGACGATGACTTTGAAATTATTTATCAAATTCGCCCAAACCTCCCACGTTCTCTTCGTTTTCAACTCCTTAAAACAGTGGAGGCTTTAGCTATTCATGAACTAAGACCTGATCTGTGTGTACAAAAGAAGTATGTGCAGTCACTGTCTTTGTCATGGTCATAACATTTTCCCACCCCATTAGCTCCCCTCCCACTTTGTTAATTTAACCTTTGTATCCTTTCTTTATCACTATTATTGTTATTATAATCGCCTTCACTTTAACTAGTTTCCGGTGTTGTTTCACCTAATTGTCTTAATCCTTTTAGAAAACACTGACTTCATCTTGTCCAATTTGTCTAATGCCATTACACAATACTTAATTGATTTACCATTTCCAACAATTTTTTCACCCCCTTCTGAGTTATATACACTCTATACACCATTTCATACATTACATAATCTATTCGTTATCAATTGTTATTATAATCATAAATGCCTATGTCATCACCCTCTATGTTATTAATGTTATCACATATAGTGTTAAGTTTTCCTCACTGGATATAATTGAAACCGAAGTTAACGTAGACGGCATGATTCTGTTCAGGAGAGACAGAGAACATGGGAACGGACGAGGGCTTGCAATATGTGTGAACAGTCGGTTCAGAAGTGAACTAACCAGTGACACGGCACCGACAGAGCTCCCAGGCTCTATCCGGTGCCACTTCACGGTCAAACACACTGAATTGTTGGAGGAATCTGTAGGTCCCCCAATAGCAACTTGGGACACAACCAAAGACTACTACAAGTAATATCCACAGTGTCAACTATAGGGTGCGACCAGGTTCTAATAGCTGGCGACTTCAACGCTCCAACCCTCAACGTAGAGTGAGGTGGCACGACTCCGAGCTGAAAGTTCGACTGTAACCTGCTAGATGCCATCGAAATGGCTGGACTACAGGAAAGATCGACGACAACCGCCGCTGGAGGTCAGATGGTAGACCATCTAAACTTGATTACCTACTGACTAGTGACCACTTTCTGGCTGAAAACGTTCAGGTACAAACTCCTCTTGGTAGTAGCGATCGTGCTATGGCAGTGTTCGACCTGGTAATCAGTGAAAAATTACCGTGGGAGGGGCCTCTCCTTCACCTCTGTTACAACAGGGCAAACTGCGAAAGATGAGAGAAAGCCTATCAAGAGCTCAGTGGCCAGTGGTTTGGTGTTCCCTATCGATCGACCAACAATGTGAACTAGTAGAAGACGGCCATCTCGCGGAACATCCCCTTGGCGGTGACAAGGACTGGAAAGCGGAGAAACAAGATACCAGTTTCAATTACCTAGGTGATGCCCCAAAAGCCTATGGGGTACTACACTTCGTGCACAGACAACTGGATGCCCTCACCCCAGAACTCTTTCTGAAGCTCTACAAGACTTACATACCATCCCACTTAGAGGTCCACAATGTCTTTGCTCCACCACAACTGAAAAAAGGCACAAACCTGCTTGAGGGAGTCCAGAGGCGAACCACAAAAGGGTTGTTGGGATGCAATGAAGACCATATGAGGATAGACTGAAAGACCTAGGCTTAACTCCATTAGCTACCGAAGGTTACGAGGCGACTTGACAGTGGCTTACGAAACACCGAATAGCCCAAGGCACCCGAACAGAGGAATACTACCAAGTGGCCACCATGGAGATCCTCGAGGAAACCCTAAGAGAATGGCCCACTTAAGGTCAAAAACTCATGTGCGTTCACAGTTCTTCTCCCTTAGAGTATGCGGATACTGGAACGCACTATCAGCCGAGGTGGTCTCCGCCCCAACTGTTGAAAGCTTTAAGAAGAGGCTAGACATTGACGCAGGGACCCACGGTCTTTCCACACATAGCTGGAACACGAACTAAACAGAAGAAATCAACTGATGTCAGGCCACCTCAACTAATTTTAACTGTACAACCAGTTTTCATCCATTTGTAACCATTTAAGTCATTTTCACCCGTTCCATTTGCCATAAGTTAGCCTCACCTAAGTTCTTCATACCTTTGCATCCCTCCTAGTCCTACTTGGGAGTAAGTAAGTTACTCCATTAGTTCACTCTTCTTTCCCACTCTCACTCGCACAAATTTACCTTTCTAGGTTTTCCCTTTATTATCCCCAACCCTTTCTGGCGATTGGTCCAAACAACTGTCTGGCAACTCGACATCTGAAGAAGACAACTGCGCCAAAGTCCAAGGCGAACAAACCAACACTTAACTTCCTGTTCTGCATATCAGAGCTATAGCAGACGAGTGTCTGGATCTACTGCATCTGAATCTGTCAAAGACCTGGGACCGCTCGGTAAGACCAAGAAGCGAGCAAGAGGGAATCAACTGGTTTACACAAGCTCGTTAAGAAGATATTGGGTATTGGATCTATGGGACATTTTAATGCTGCTTTCCCAATGCCCATCATTATACAAATTCGTCATTACAGCCAGAGAAGTTAACCGTAGCGGTTACCATGATTAGAAACTAGCGCCTTGGTTTTTATGTCTGCTACTTCTCACCGACCAATCAGGAGAAGCAAAGTCAATGCTTTATATTACTGGCGCGAATTTGAATGTTTCGTATGGTTGGTGGCAAATAAGTGTGTGGACTGGCTTTCTCTGGTAGGTGACGCTATTTCATAAAAGGTGATGGAGCAGTTAACTGCATAAAACGACAGAAAGGTGAAAATGGAATTCTGGTAGTGAACTTAGATGAAGTTTAAACCTTAGAAGTATAAATTTCTTCCACTATGAGTTTTTTTAATAATTCAGAGCGACGAAGTACAACTCCCCAGATTCTATGTAGACGGCTTGCATGATAGTACTTTTTAATTTTACTCAGTGAAAGACGAAAAATTTGATGAGTTTGTCAGTTTAACACTTGGATTTTGTTCAATAGGATGCATATGTTTGTTTGCCACATTAAAACTGAAAATTTCATGTTGTAAAATTAGTGAACGACGGTTCCTTGGGTTCTACCTCTGTCTTATTGGAGTACACCCTGCGTTTCTAATGGTCACAATTGTCTTCCTAGTTGTGAAAGACCTGAGATAATCGATTACTTATTAATGTAGTCCAAATATAGTATTACTGCACTTGATCTGCAGACGACGGAAAGCTTCTCAAGTACTGCCTTTCAGTGCCAAGAGACTCACTTTGTGCGCCTGACCTATTTTTGAAATTATCAGGAGATGGGGCTATAATAACAGCTGAAGTAAGGGAGTTCCACAGTTTACAAACTCTGACTGTAAACGAGTTAGCACGGATCTTTGTACGTGCTCTCCCATGCATTTCTGATTAAAGCTTAGGAGGGATCTGTTAGGATGAAGGGGATTATAAGCAGTGTGGTACATCATTTTCATATCCCCTCAGATCTTCCAGTATTGTACTAGACGCAGCTTAGGAGCAATTAAACGACTTAGGTAAGGTTTGTTCCGTAACACAATTACTTTCTTCGTATCTCTTCTTTGTAACTGTTCTAGGATGGCTATGTCCTTCTTCAAGTATGGGGACATCACAAGCGAAGTTTTCTCATGATGAGGGCAAATATATAGTGCATACACTGTGGTAAAAAGGAGTTAGACTCCCTAAAGTTTGGGGAAAAGACCAAGACTCTATAGACCTTGTTGGTTGCAAGATGACAGTAGAGGGAAGCTTCTAGTGTGTCTCTTATAAACCCCCGGATTTTGTACCATGTTAGTGACATATTTATTCAAACCAAAGAGTTAGAACTGGGACCGCTTTTATATTTCTCAACTATAATTATCCTACACTTTGAGTTAATAGGGAGCAGGTTTCCTGTGGTCCAATTTAGGATTTTCGTGAGGTCCTCCTGGTAGACTAAAATATCCTTTGGCGCCTGTATTTCCCTCAAGTTGGACTGCATTAAGCCGACGGCTGCCACTTAGGCGGTCCCTATCCAATACCTAAGGGCAAGCCCCTACTCAGAAGGCTTGCAGTCTCCAAATCAGATGATGTCTTCTTAGTATCTCATGTGTCAAAAGCTGAAAAGGAGGTGAGGATACTACCAGATATTTCACACTTTGGGGAAATGGCTGTAACGAAACTCTCGGGTGACGATCGTGACGCTTACTTTAGGGGAAGAAACGTTATAATACAAGGCATACCGGAAAACCCAGGCACCGAGAAAATTCACTACGATTCTCGCCAGTGGAAGTTCCTCAAGAATAATATGAACTTCAAGTGAGTAATGACCCTGAGCGTTTCACGTATACCCAAAACGGACGATGACCCCAAACTAAGGGTGATCAAACTGGTCTTTCCGGCCTCTCAAATGGTAGGGCTCACACTGAGGACATTCTGGGCGAACAGAAATCGCCTGCCATCTGGATTCCGCATGCAGCGTGATAAGTAGCAGAACGAGAGGCTGCAACGAAAACAGAAAAAAGTTGGAGCTACTTGTATCTCTGGAAGACTGCTTAGATGCAAAAAACGGAGAAGGGGCGGGGAACACTGTACTGGTAAGTAGCACTTATGCACGTTCTCAGCCCCCACGCCCGAGGTTTCGGCAGCCAACTGGAAAATAGAGAGGCTTCAGGAAGTGTATTACAAGTAGATAGCATAAATTGCATGTATACAAATGCACAAAGTTTGCCAAATAAACTGGACGACCTGCAGGAACTAAGTAAGGTTACTTACGCTCACCTTATTTGTGTCACTGCGACATGGGTTTCTCCTGACGTATCAAGTCAGGAGCCAGCAATTGTTAACAGCATGCTGTTTCTCAACGACAAGGAGGCTGGTAGGAGGGTGGGCACAACTTTACGTCAGCCCTTCTCTCTCACTTCCCCAAATTCATATTCATTAAGTGGAATGCCTCAACGAGTCCATTTGGTGTACCATGAAGCTATCCAAGACTATAAAGTGCTTGGTAGGAGTCATTTATAGGAAGCCATCTGCTGACTTACAGTATGATGATCAGATGCTAGAGGCAACCAATTGCTCTCTTAAACTGGGGCACACACACAGGTTAATTTTAGGCGGTTTTAACCTACCGAAGATTAATTCTGTAGATCACACGTTGTGCGGGAGTGGGATTCTATTGAAGCCCGATTCTTCCATCTGATTGGGGAAATGGGGCTTACGGAAAATGTGGGAACGGTAACGCGATCAAGGGAGACTCAAACCCCATCTCTCTTAGACTATATTCTCAAATGAAGAATTCCTTCCTCCTTTGGGCAGGAGTGACCACGTTGTTATCGGTTTACAGTTTGTCTGCGAAACCAACGTAACCAGGTCTTTCAATGGGCGCCGCTGGAACTCCAGACGACTTCGCACTCCAGCTCTTCTAATCGCACTAGGACAGACAGGTTGGGAAGTTAACCATGCATGCAAGGATATGAACACTCATTAGAGATTCATACTTGACAAGATGGTGCATGCAATCAGCCAGTCTGTTTCACTTTCAAGATCGAAGTACTTCAAGTTGCCTAGGGTAACAAGAAACTACACCCCCAAATTACTTATCTTAAAGAGATACCAGTCGGTCGAATACGAAAGGATTGGCACCGAATATACTTACAGACAATTCAAATAGACAAGAAACACATGTACGAAGGCATTGAGAGCCGATCGGCAGCGGCATGATGTTGGGCTCACAAACATGTTCCGCTACACTGCTGCGTTCGGGCAGGCTAAAGCGGGGGTCTGTCAACTACTAGGTACAAACGGACTGACTGGTAACGACACTGAAGCAGTTAAGCTCCTGGCCGACCAGTATGTACAAATCTTTTCGTCATCATCTACCTACTCAGGAGTTTACGAATATCCCACTAACGAAGTAGGACTCAGTCGTCAACCTAAGCGTTGAGCTGGTATAGCACAGACTGCTACTGCTCACAAAAGACACTTCTCCTGGACCGGATAAAATCCGAGGAGGTACTGCGAAAAGGGGCAGAATTCTCTAAATCAAGGGAAAATACATGATTCTTGGAAGTTGGACCTCAACACCAATCTTCGAAGGGGTCGACGAAGCAATCCAAAGAAACACAGACTCTTTTGTCCACACCTTCCAAAGTAATGGAATCGTCAACCTGCGGTGGAATGAGGGATAATCTGACAAAGATCAACCTATTTGCTCCCCAACAATATGGATTTCGAAAAGGGTGTTACTAGTCTGCTCACTGCAGTAGGTAGATAGACTGGCATTGTCAGCTGTCGAGGACTAGTTGGTGTTATTTATCTAGACTTTGGCAAGGCGGTTGATTGTGTTAATCGCGACCGCCTTATTGACAAATTGAAACTAATTGGGCCAAGACAGCCGTTCACTCACTGGTGTTGTCTTCACATCTACGAGGTCTTTTATTTAGAGTTTCTATAAGACTGAAGAAAGAGAATGTCCTTTTATATATATATATATATATATATATATATATATATATATATATATATATATATATATATATATATATATATATATATATATATATATATATGCACATGTATATAGTGTTTTTATTCATTGAATGTTTTACACTAATTTATCTGAAGACCAAATTTACAGGTGTTGAATTTCAACTTATATCGAAATGTACAAATATGAATGTGTATTTTTCATTTAATTTCCTAACGTTACAGTTAAATCCGAATTATGGAAGAGGCCAGAGCTGTCCTTATGAAAAAGGATGCCATTCTGGAACATCCATATATGTTAGCGGAAGCCATCGACTGGTAGTTGGCAATTTATCTAGACAACTATTGGCTTTTAGTGTCCGATTGAAAGATGCGCAGACCGGGAAAAACGAAGCAGAGAAACTGTTGGTGGAGAGCTATCAAGGTGCTATCGAGTTTTTGTTCGAGTTAGGAACGTGGCTCACCTATATCGGTAAAGCAGTGCGAATAATATCAGTTTTCATCCAATTAGATGAGGATGCACAGTCTACTCGTAATATTATTGAGTCAGTTGTCAAAGAAGCTATACTCCAAAACTATGATCGTTCAAAGGCCATAACTTGTTTAACAGATGAAGCGTCAGCTGTTAGTTTACTTTCTTATAAATTTATATTCTGGGTATCAGGACACTATGGAATGGCTCAGTCAAATGGTTGAATCTCCAACTTGGCGTCAAACTATATACAACTTGGCTCAACATCCACGGAATGAAGATTGTCCATTTTTATCTTTGTCTATGCCATGTATTGCTGTAAAAGAAAGTTTAATAGGAGAACTTATTTCCGTTCCTCTGGCATGGAACACTTTAGGAATATTTTTAAAGTGTGTTATATATGTTTTGCAACCACTTCTGGCCGCTGGAGATACAGTTAAAGATCAAACATTTATGTATTCCGTCGCATTTTTACAACCAAAACGAAATCATCCTTCATTTACCAATTACGCTAATGTTCCGCACTCAGAAATGGGCACAACAAATTCAGAATTGCTTCCAGCCATTGATGAAATTAAGGGTTTCGTTTCCGTTGCTGATGTACAACGTCCACCAAGTGACTCAGTAGGGGATTGTTATTTCTCCAGTGACGCTGCACAGGAAATGTTACCTCACTTTTTGGTAGGTCTAAGTACAATTCTTCCATTTTGTGTGTTCCTTGACTTCTAGTAGGTTGAACATTGTTTGTATTTCGTTTCTTTAACCCCGCAGTTATTCAACAAAAAAGTCCTTTCAAGTTTATCTTAGCTGAAGAGATTCATACTTCATACATTCATACTTAACCGAAAAATATTTTGAAGAGGAATAATTCCCAGCTGAACTAACTGTCTAGTTTTTTATGCATAATCCAAATGTTTCATCAGTTCATCATACTTCTTTGTTTGGTTGTCTATGTATGATTTTACTCGATGTTTAATAGTTGTTTAGGCTCATCACCCATCGTCGCAGGAAAAGTTCGTAAATTCGGTAATAGCTGGTAGTATCTGATATTTATATACTTGTTATATTGAATTCATCCCATAAACTGGCATTAACTTACCAACTAAATCAGTGTGGTTTTTTTTAAAAACTGTAATAGTGTTCCAAATTGTAGAGTATATTTGATATATATTCAACAACCTTTTGCACATTCGTGCAGTACTTAGTGGGTAGCCACCCCATTGTGTGTGAACTTAATTATACTACCTGGTTGCCCTAATGTTGGTAGATGGAGCAGCTGGGTTCGGACCTGTGACTCGCCAGTTTTTAATCAAGTACCTAAACCATTGAAAAACTACTAATTTTCCGGTACTTGCCTAAAAGTTTCATTTGCATATAGTCCTTTAATTTGAAGATCAGAAGATAAACAATTTAAACAACTAACATTTCACCTCTTCAGACACATTGACACAAACATCAACAATGATTGCTTTTAGATTCATTCGATTTCTACGATAGTTTCGTCACACTTTGTCCACCAACTGAAATTAAGAAAATATAGACCAATCAACCCATTCAATATTAGTAAAATAATGAGTGAAAAAAAATCAGAATACAACTCAGTATGATGTTTCAGAAACTGAAGACTAACTAAGTCACCTGAGTTTTCGTGTATGACTAAAACTGAGGTGCTATGCAACGAAATACAGTTTGAAATAGTGGGGAACATTTGTAGTTCAGGTGGATATTATTTAACTATTAAAAGGGCTCAAGTCGCAGCAATATTTCATTATTTTAGACACTCAACTTTCGACTGGTAGATCTTAGGTTCGAACCGCACTCCACTTAGGTTTTGGTCGAATGAATGTAACTAGTCTGTTATCAGTCGCGCCGAAAATATTGGCTGCTATCATACTACTCAGATTTTACAAAACACGTGAGGAAATGATTCGCAAGGAGTTGGCCGGTTATCGTCCAGGTCGTGGATCCGTTGGCCATGTGTTCATCCCCCACCAGATACTTGAACATCACCACACGTATTCCAGGCCAACAATCGTTATGTTTCCGGACATTAGGGCTGCATTCAATTCGTTGGACAGAGTTGTACTCTGGAACTCTGTTGGAGATGGGTGTATCTGAGAAATTTATTAACATCTTGAAAGCCCTAAATAAAGAACCTTAGGTAGAGTAAGTGCATACAACCACCTGTCACCAGTGTTCCAAACCAGCAGTGGGGTTACACAGGGTTGCCCGATTTCTCCATTCCTCTTTAACTTTGCCATCGATGGTATTCTCAAGACAGCTCTGAAGAAAGTGTGTCATAATCGTGTAGATCTACTACTCGGAGAACGCCTACTCGACCTTGAAAGTGCAGATGATATCGTCTTACTGTGCGATAACACACAGGCTGCTCAAGTTGCACTTAATTAGTTGACGATTGGTGTCCGCAAGTATGGTACTTGCTTCGCACTATTAAAGTGTAAAGTACTCTTGCAAGATTGGCAAGAGCCTGTGCCTGCGTTTACCCTTAGTGGTGAGCCGTTTATTAGTAGGTGAGAAGTTCGTGTATCTGGGTAGTTGTGTGAATGCTGGTGGAGGTGTGGGCGGTGAATTTTCCAACCGCGTATCGAAAGCCAGAGTAGCGTACGTCAATCTAGGGTCACCTTTGACGCCGTCGCGATGTTAGTCTGACTGTAATACGGGTCTACAACGCTCTGTTTGCTAACCCTGGAGCTGGACGTAAGAAGCGGAGGGGTGGTCAGTATGCGATGTGTCGCCGTGGATTGAAAGGTAGTTGTATCACGTTAGCATCTGTTGCTGCATCACGACTCTCTGGGTGGCGTTCGAGAGAGTATGCAACTCAGTGACTTAAAACGTTATCAGATATGGCTCAGAATCGAAACCAGTGGCGGTCATGCTGTAGCTTCCTGTTATCTTCTGCTGCTGGAAAGTAATGAGTGTGTTGTTTTGAATATATCTTGTTGGATTGCCTTCCTAATCATTCTAATTTCATTGTTGTTTTTTATCTTCTATCCACTTCTCTTCGCTTTATGTCTTCATAATGTTGTATTATTTCGTGTGGCGGATTTTTACGTGCCCTTGCTTATTTCTATTCTCATGATATAATAGTTTGACATACAAGAAGAATCTGTAACATTGGTGTGGCTTGTAAATTTTCACACGTAGATTCTTAAATGCATAAATTATAAGAGTAGAGTTTGTTTCTAACCTGTAAGGTGTATGTTACCTTTTTTAAAAACGTTGCCTATAAATCAGTTAAACAGATTTCGTGAATTTTTCAATTTCGTGTAGGATTAACGTTGAATTTCCAAAATTTTCATTGTTTTTTAGGAAATGGGCTGTCATAGTGAACATGGATATTTGCTCCTACAGTCCATTCTTCAGTGCTTGGCTCAACGAATGAAAGGTCATTGTGCTTATCATCTTATTTGGCTTTTGGAAGCTGAAGCTAGTCGAAGGTCGAAATAGATTCAATCATTATTCCATTCTTTGTAGTTTTGATGCATTAGTTCCTTATATGAAAAGAGTAAATGTTACTTATTCAGTGGTATTATGCTTCTGTGATAAGTTGTGAACCGCACCTACGTTCACGATCAACACAAATATCACGCTGCAGTATACAGAAATATGTCTGCAGACATTGCTCACTATAAGTGTAAGAGTTTGGGACTGTGGCAGATTGTAATCCCATTTTCGAATTGATTGTTTTGATATAGCACTAATTGATACTGTATTATTAACTTGATGATGCTTCAAGCATAATTTATTATGTATAATCATGTTCACTGCGTCCATTGTGTGAGAGAGTACAAGAAATGAAGCGATCGCAGCGTTTTGATCATAGAAGTCTTCATAGTAACGCTCACGTTTAGTGGAATCACCGTGTGAGCTATCATGAGGTCAGGCAAAGGGTGTTGGGCAAGATGGGCAAGTCGATTGATTAGGTTGTTGACTTTACTTGACTGAGATGGCTTGGACATTGCTCATTCCGAGTCACCTGAATGTAGTAAGCTGGAGAAGGTTTGATTATGTTGGAATAGGGTTCAAGGTGTCCAGATCAAGATCTGTCACCGATCGATGAAGTCTCTGACTTTTGGTCTGAGTCATGTGGAGGAGATGCAGACTAATTGGCTGGGGTCCTCAAGACGATTGGAAACAGTGGTTGAGGACTGTTGATGATATAGCTGAAAATCATTGACAATGGTGCAGATTTATTCACTCATTGGCATCTTCTAAAGCATGAACATTTGCACTAACCATTGTCTTCAAATTGTCTATTCTCTCACACAACTTTGTCTTCTTTGATATCACTGATTTTCTATCCAGCTGTTCTTTGTTTATTTCTGTGGTGTGGCAGCTGGAGCCGATACACTTGTGTAGGACGTTCTTGGTTGATTTTAACAGTCAGTCAGAGGAGTTTATATCAAACGTGTTTCAAAGTGAAACTGAAGTAGAGTGGATAGCTTGAGTTACATCACTTTTGTTAAAGAATTATCGTTAGATAAGTGAATGATAATGAACTGTAATTCCTGCCTTAGTGTATGCTAGCTGTTCGAAAACACTGATAAGTGAACACAAGCCTCCTTGTTTTCTTATATTTCTTCATCTTTTATGTACTTTTCATCTCAGTGTGTAGTTACATTATTCTGACTGCTGATTTGTCGATGGACAGAACAAGTTAAATACTTTTCACTAGGAACGTTGATTAGACAGTGATGTTCTTACACTATTTACACAAGTGAAGTAGCTAATTTATGCTTCCGTTCTCCAAAATCGGTAATTTATCAACTTGCACAAAATCTCGAATGCCTTACTGTTGAAGAGTGTTTATAATTAATTAACTGACTGACAGAGAAAATCAACCAAGAACGTCCTACACAAGTGTATCGGCTCCAGCTGCCACACCACAGAAATAAACAAAGAACAGCTGGATAGAAAATCAGTGATATCAAAGAAGACAAAGTTGTGTGAGAGAATAGACAATTTGAAGACAATGGTTAGTGCAAATGTTCATGCTTTAGAAGATGCCAATGAGTGAATAAATCTGCACCATTGTCAATGATTTTCAGCTATATCATCAACAGTCCTCAACCACTGTTTCCAATCGTCTTGAGGACCCCAGCCAATTAGTCTGCATCTCCTCCACATGACTCAGACCAAAAGTCAGAGACTTCATCGATCGGTGACAGATCTTGATCTGGACACCTTGAACCCTATTCCAACATAATCAAACCTTCTCCAGCTTACTACATTCAGGTGACTCGGAATGAGCAATGTCCAAGCCATCTCAGTCAAGTAAAGTCAACAACCTAATCAATCGACTTGCCCATCTTGCCCAACACCCTTTGCCTGACCTCATGATAGCTCACACGGTGATTCCACTAAACGTGAGCGTTACTATGAAGACTTCTATGATCAAAACGCTGCGACCACTTAGTTTCTTCTACTTTATCGACCACGTCTCATATCTGTACAACGGGACAGAACGGACTGTAGAGCAGTTTACTCGTCCTTTGATAAACATTTTGATATCTCGCCAGGCGGCGCTACAGTTGATACAGATTAGCAAATGATAAACGGTCCTTCTCTATCTGGCCTGAGATTTCTTCAGCAATTAGCCCGTTTGAGCTAATGGAACTCCCCAATTAAGAGAAGCGGTCGGCACATTTCACCACTTTACTTCCTGTTATTAAGGTGGGAGTTAACTCAGAGCGACTAAGGTTGAATAGACTACATGTCCTCTTTCGTGTGTTGGCCTTGTTGTTTTAGGCGCTCACCCAATCGATCAAGTCTGAACACTTTTCTCCGTTCTGTGGTTTCGAAAGCCAGAAGGTGTTATCAGTTTCCACTACACATATGGCTCATCACCTAGCGTGTAGAATTTTACGTGCTTAATGATTTGTGTTTCATACTTTTGTGCTGTTTTGTAATATCTTATGACTTGTAGGTGGAAATTTATGAAGCACTTTCAATGCATTGACTTTTTAATTTTACGATCACTTATCCAGCTGTTCATATCGGAATCCTTATCTGGGTCTAGGTTGGTTGAAAGATGCTTCATCTATCCATTAATTTACTTACTGCAAAAGGAAACTAGTGGTCAAAATAGTTAGATTCCCACCACCGACTTTCTGGTGTATTTGATTAACACTGTTAAATATTCATATATGTTACTCTTACGAAGCTTATTTTATCGTCGCTTTGATTATATGTTGTAGTGTATTCATCCTGTTATAACGAGTGTTTACTGTGAATCACCTGCAGGTAGTATATATGATTTGTTTACATTAGAGGTCGTGATGTGAGCCGTTATACAACTTACCTTTGTGGTGCAAGAGACTATCCCGAGAGTATGGATGCAATGCGAACAATCCTTAAAGAACAGGATCTTGTTCCAGATGCAGTTTTACAAGTTAGTTTAAAATGTTTTACAGAATTCGCGTTTTGTGTCCGTTTTTGTTAAAAGTTAGTGATATGCTTAAATTGAGGTTGTACAGAAATATACATTTACTTTTTTCACGAATAACTTTTCGATGTTTGCTTTAAATTAATAATCGAGCTATCTGATGCACACTTTTCGTAATTAATATAACTTTTTACATTCTCTCTAAAAATGATATATAAATACAATTTTATGTAACAACTGAAAAGAGTCTGTTTGATGAGCCACTTGTTTTCATTTTGTTCATTTAGAGATTTTTCATGAAGTAACATGACCTCGTTAAAAATAATGGTGAATTGTTCACTCGAAATGCCGACCACTGCCCTCTCGAAATTCATTTTGAGGTTATATTGGCGTTTTTACTTCTTCTGTCTCATTGTTCGTATTTTTTAACCATGCACTAAAGTATAAGTGTTATTGCTCGTATTATACCCTCGTTGATTGGACCGAATTGATCGGTCTCTATTGACATGTGAGCTCCTGTGCAAATGCCTCGATGTTGCCTTTGTTTTAATTATGTATGTTGGCGATGGATAGTAGCTAGCAGTGGAATCCATGATGTGCGATTCGCCCTACTTTAGGCTCGTCAGTAGGACGTACCTGCGCGCCATTGCGTGTTGTTCCCACCGGGGCGAGTAGCTTCAAACTCTAGAGCGTTACCCACTAGACCACCGAGTCACGACGGGCATGGTTTTAGTATTATTGCTTGTATTATCCCGTCGTTGAATGAACCGAATTGATCGGTTTCATCACTATGCACACTAAAAATTGTGTAAAAATTCTTTTAGTGTGACAACTGGGCAGAGATTTGAAAATAAGTGCCATTTATCATGTTTAGTAGTAACAGCTGAGAAGTTTGTGCGGTAGCGTAACAGGTGTCTGTTTTCGTTACTTTTAGTTCCAAAGTGATATGTCTTAATTAACAGCTAAGATTTCTTCTAGGTTCTTGTTATGGGAAGCTTATCGATTGACAGTAAGTTGTTTATTATATGGTTTGATTCATAACAGAAAGACAAGACAAACAGTTTTTTCACTGAGTTGAACATCCTATGATAAGAGTGATATAGACACCTAAGTTCACTACATTACTGAGGTTCATCACCCACCTACCTTGACGTGCAGTACTAGAGGAAGTTTGATTATGTTGGAATAGGGTTCAAGGTGTCCAGATCAAGATCTGTCACCGATCGATGAAGTCTCTGACTTTTGGTCTGAGTCATGTGGAGGAGATGCAGACTAATTGGCTGGGGTCCTCAAGACGATTGGAAACAGTGGTTGAGGACTGTTGATGATATAGCTGAAAATCATTGACAATGGTGCAGATTTATTCACTCATTGGCATCTTCTAAAGCATGAACATTTGCACTAACCATTGTCTTCAAATTGTCTATTCTCTCACACAACTTTGTCTTCTTTGATATCACTGATTTTCTATCCAGCTGTTCTTTGTTTATTTCTGTGGAGTGTGGCAGCTGGAGCCGATACACTTGTGTTTCGGGTTCCAGCTTGATTTTGTCTGTGTATCTGATATTTGAACAAGATATTCAGCGAAGAGACTGTTTTCAACGAATTTATTTTCAAGCTGTACAATCGTATATATATGGTATTTGGTAAAAATTATTTCCTGTAAGGAAAACTAAACACTGTATGGTGATAACATTAATAACATAGAGGGTGATGACATAGGCATTTATGATTATAATAACAATTGATAACAAATAGATTATGTAATGTATGAAATGGTGTATAGAGAGTATATAACTCAGAAGGGGGTGAAAAAATTGTTGGAAATGGTAAATCAATTAAGTATTGTGTAATGGCATTAGACAAATTGGACAAGATGAAGTCAATGTTTTCTAAAAGGATTAAGACAATTATAGAGCCAACCGGTCGGATAAGTTCATATGAATCAGGATCAATTACTGATTTATCCCTCATGCTTTTTAAGACATTTGTGAGTTGTGTTTAAATTATATGTGTCTTATTGGGCTGAAATTTTGGAACCTGTTAGAAGGCAAGTATCGAGTTTTTCTATCCGTGATACATTTCAGTTTGTTGAGGGTATTAAGGATTTCAATGCTCAAAACAAGATAATGTTTTCATTAGACGAGTGTGCCACTCACCGAAACTGTCTGTTATGTATGTGACTATATTGATGCACATAATTTAGACGTAGGACTACCAACGAGCTGCTTGAAAGAGCTTTTGTTAAGGTGCACATTTAATGTCCAATTCAGTTTCAATAATGAAATCTATAGACAGAAAGATGGGATTGCGATGGGGTCATCATTGGGACCACAGCTAGCAGATTTCTACATGTCGAAACTAGAAAATTCACAACTTCGTCAAACTATTGATAGCTTTGACTTTTATAGAAGATATATGGACGATACGTTTGTTATTTGCGACAAAAATGTAGACCTCGACGATGTGCTTCGTTCATTCAATGAATGTCATCAAGCCCTCAAGTTTACCATAGAGAAGGAATCAGAATCAACTATTCCTTTTCTTGATGTGCTTCTCACCCGACGTTAGAATGGATACCTTAAAAGATCCATCTACAGAAAACCAACGTGGAACCGACAGCTAACTAATTTTTATAGTTGGGTGCCCATCAACAGAAAAAGAAATTTTATTCACTCTCTTTGCTATGGAATCAGAAATATCTGTAGTGACGATTGTATCGACGAAGAGCTATCTTTTTAAAAAGCATACTTGTCGAAAACGGTTACCCTAGCCGTTTTATTGATAAAAATATGCGGGAAAGAAACACTAAACCAGTCATCCACTCGGTCTCAAAGAAAAGATTGTTTCTGAGCCTGGAGTTTAAAAGGAGACCTAGCATTGGATGTGCTGAAGAATCGTCTTACCAGATCAATCAGTAGGACTTTCTTTGCAGCAAGACTTCAGTTGACTTTCACCAGCCGCAACCTATTCTCCACTTGCGTTAAGGACAAGCTTCCTCGTTCGCCCGCCTCTATGTGCATCTATCAGTTCACCTGCTCTTGTGGAGCAAGATACATCGGCCGTGGCCACAGAATGCTTTCTACACGTATACGAGAACATGTTCCTGCTTGGTTTTATAAAGGTGAAAGAAAGTCTGTTAGAAGTTCGATTCTAGAACATTTGATTGACTTCCATCACACAACAAATCCAGACGATGACTTTGAAATTATTTATCAAATTCGCCCAAACCTCCCACGTTCTCTTCGTTTTCAACTCCTTAAAACAGTGGAGGCTTTAGCTATTCATGAACTAAGACCTGATCTGTGTGTACAAAAGAAGTATGTGCAGTCACTGTCTTTGTCATGGTCATAACATTTTCCCACCCCATTAGCTCCCCTCCCACTTTGTTAATTTAACCTTTGTATCCTTTCTTTATCACTATTATTGTTATTATAATCGCCTTCACTTTAACTAGTTTCCGGTGTTGTTTCACCTAATTGTCTTAATCCTTTTAGAAAACACTGACTTCATCTTGTCCAATTTGTCTAATGCCATTACACAATACTTAATTGATTTACCATTTCCAACAATTTTTTCACCCCCTTCTGAGTTATATACTCTCTATACACCATTTCATACATTACATAATCTATTTGTTATCAATTGTTATTATAATCATAAATGCCTATGTCATCACCCTCTATGTTATTAATGTTATCACCATACAGTGTTTAGTTTTCCTTACAGGAAATAATTTTTACCAAATACCATATATATACGATTGTACAGCTTGAAAATAAATTCGTTGAAAACAGTCTCTTCGCTGAATATCTTGTTCTTGATGTTACAATGTGTATTATTAAATTTTCTGAGATTTATTAAAATGTTTTTGTAAGGATTTTAAACTTCTGATTTACATGGTTGCTGTATTGCTTAGCTTGAAGAAACGTACAAAAGAACCGCACCTCCGCCTGTTGCTCTTTTACATCAACCTATTTTCATCGGTGAGTTCGCTTTAATTTAATACTTAGAAGTATTTTTTATATATTTGTGTTTCAAACCATTATTCTTTATTAAAATGGATTTTAATGAAACCAACTTTTTGTTCTGTAGCAACGATGCGTCGTAAAGCTTACTTGTGTTATTATATTATTTGCGAAGATAAAAGGAAAAGTGACCGTGCCGGTCTTTGAAAACTTACTTTAATCGATTTTTGTGGGAATCAAATAGTGCATGTAAACAGTAGAGCATAGCTAGAGCTTTGTATATGGAGCGTAGCAAATCATAGACACTATCATGCAAACTTCAAAATATCCAACTATGTGAATGTTTCGACTATTGTTTATGAAACACTTTCGGTTAGGTAACGTTGTAAAATGATATCACATATTTCTCTCTCATGTACCTTAATACCAGAACTCTGGAATTTTGAGCCATGGATAAATGGCGTCTCTGAGACACGTATATATTACATGAGTATGCTTATTCATTGGATCTCACCTGGCCAATGCTATTGATCTTCAAAATTCACATTTTAGTGTGTGGAAATTCAGTGGCTACCTTTCGTCGACTCTATGATGTAGGCATAGCACCAAATTCTCGAACGAAATGTTACTCCAACTGACTACCTGTCAACAGCTAGCTGTCTGTGTGCTGTACGAATGAATGGATCTGTGAGAACTAGGAAGGATCGTGAAACCAACTAATAGATATTCGTAATCGTCTCCTATACACCCATAAGTGGCAGTTCGGATGATGCAAAAGGTGAATTATATGAGTTGTCCATCTTACTACAGAAAGCGAAACGTCCAGACGTAGTCATTATTAACAGGCTACTTCAGCACTCATGGTAGGAAACTGAGCTCACCAAAAAGGCATCTAAGGTGTCTACGGAATCCCATAACTGTTATGATTTGGAGGACTGCTATATGCTATGGCCGCTAACGATGCACAGATATCGACCGTCAGCCACCAACACTCAACGAATTCGTAGTTGATTCTCTACCCGACTAATTAATGGAGAAGACACGATGAACGTGTAAAAACGTGTATTCAATCAAATCAATCAATATCAACATAGGACCAGGCATTACTACGTAACGGTCCGAGTTGCCACACCTCATAAGAGAATGCAGTCAAAAGAAATATAAAATACGAGAAGAAAGGAAAGAGGAGTGACAAAATGGTGAGATTCGGTATAGCGTTGTTAAGATGAGGATAATGTGTGTATACATCTGCGCCACTTACTTCGGTTCTGAGCCATATCACCTAGGGTCTCCAACCACTGGTTCCTCTTGTCCCGTGGACCCCAACCACCTAGTCTGCATCGTCCTACATGGCTTAAACCAACAGTCAGAGACTTCATACATTGGTGCCATGTTTTAGTCTGGCCACCTCGGGCCTTTTTCCAGCCTGAACCCACCTCAGCCAACATTGTGTGACGAGGCAATCGGTGACTAGGCATACGTAGTACGTGTCCCAACCATCTCAGTCGATGAAGGTTCACAACCTCGTCGACTGACTTACCTCTTCTCCCTAAAACTCTACACCTAACTTCTGCATTACTCACATGGTGACACCACGGAATACGTCCTATACTACGAAGGCAACGGTGGTCAAACACCTGAAGCCTTCTTATATCTTCCACTTTCAATGGCCATGTTTCACAGCCATACAGTAGAACAGAGCGGACTGCTGTGCAGTACACGCGACCCTTAATAGACAAACGAATATCACGGCGGCGCCATAGGTGGCGCAAATTGGCAAAAGCCAATCGAGCCTTTTGTATCCGTGCAGAAATCTCATCGGCAACTAACTCACCAGGGTTGATCCTACTTCCCAGGTAAGTGAAGTGGTCAACACACTCAACCACTTCACTCTCTATTGTTAACCGCGGTACCGCTGAAGACCAGTCCTGGAGCAAAAATTTGCATTTGGGTGGTGAAAATCGCATCCCAAACATTCTCAAATTCCCACTCAAAGTGTTCAGAAGACTCTGCATCTTGTCAGCGTCTTCACCTAACAGGACTATGTCATCTGCATATTCTAGATCTAAAGAAAATTCACCTGTGATTCGGTCAACGTCTGTGTAATTAGGTGACGAGAGGGAAACCTCCATAAGAATATCTATGATAAAATTAAATAAGAATGGGGATAGTGGGCATCCTTGACGGACACCACTTGATGAGTATAGCTCCCTGGACAACTCACCATAGGCTCTAACATGCCCACAAGTGTTCGAGTAGAGAGCTTTCAATAAGGTGATGTACTTACTAGGCACGCCTTTCAGTGACAGACATTGCCATAAGACTTCTCGATCAACGGAGTCAAATGCCGCCTTCAGGTCGAGAAATACAGCTATTGTCGGGCGTCTGTAAGCATGCCTATGTTCCAGGACCTGGCGCAGTGTGAATATTTGGTCGATACATCCACGGCCAGGTCTAAAGCCTGCCTGGTTTTCTCGGGCTTGCTGTTCCCGAGCTCCACTCAGGCGTCGGAGAATTATAGAACTTAGGATCTTAGACACTATGTTTGTCAGGCTGATTCCTCTGTGGTTATCACAAGAGGACTTCTCGCCTTTCTTGAAGACTGGGATGATGAGTGACTTAGACCAGTCCCATATACTGGCTAACACTTCCGTTAACCTGACTAAGAGCACTCTACCACCATTCTTGTATACCTCAGCAGGTAGTCCGTCTGGTCCTCTGCCCTTCCCGTTTCAGGCTACCTACCGCTTTCTCAACTTCTTCTAGTGTTGGGGGACCTGTCTCTATGTCCCATTCAGGGTCCGACTGGATAGCGGGCAGCGCAATCGTGGCTGGAGGCCAGTTAAACTGTTCCTCGAAGTGTTCTGCCCATCGTCCCAGTCGCCTTCCCTGCGAGTGAATCGCAGATCCGTCCTTCTCCGCTATAGCCTCACTAACTGTTGTTGACCATTTCCCCCCAGTCTCCTTAATAAGTCTAAATAACTGTCTACTGTTACCGATCGCCGCTGCCTTTTCCATCTCTTTAGCCTTCGCTGCCCACCACTGTTCACGATCGTTGCGCAGACTTTTCGTCAGTCTATTTTTAAGTTGCGCTCGCTCTTCATTGTACTCAGAGCCTGCAGGGATGCATTCACGTGCATCCATTAGTTTGGAAGAAGCTGCTGATATCCACTGGCTCTTTTTAGCCATTATCTTGGAGTCGGCTACAGTCTCCAGTGCTGCTTTTACAGTAGACTGAAGATGGCACCAAGCTTCTTCTGGATGAGTGACAGTCTTTTGTTCCGATAACTGCCTAGCCAACTTCTCACTGAACACGGCTTTGGTGTTTTCGTTGTCCAGCAGAACTCGTAGTGGTTTTGTTGCCAAATTTTTTCTACGTCCATTGAGACGCAGGCATATACGTGCTCGGACCAACGCATGATCGCTGTCCAAACACGTACTCCAGAAGGAGCGGCAGTCTTCCACCGATCCTCTCCAGCGATGACTAATAGCAATGTGGTCTATCTGTGTCCATCGCTGAGTCGAGCTCGGTGGACGCCAGGTCAGACAGTGCCTTTCTTTATGTCTGAAATTTGTGCTGGCTAAAAATAGGCGGTTATCTGAGCATAGTTGTAATAGGCGATCACCGTTATCTGTACGTTCAGCTGGGATTCCGAAAGTGCCACCTAAGTGCCTTTCTGCCTCACTCAGTCTACCCACCTGTGCGTTGAGGTCACCTGCAACAACCACTACGTCCGAACGTTTGGCTTTCGAGAGGAGGTTAGACAGTTTATGGTAGAACTCGTCCTTCACTTCATCCGAGCTGCAGTCAGTGGGTGCGTAAGCAGAGATTACAAAGAGACAACGGCGAGTCTCACTATTCCTTTTAGTTCTCACTGTGCCGTTCAGCCTCATAGCGCAGAGGCGACTATCAACTGGGATCCAGTCTAGTAGTGAGTTTTCTGCCCTGGTGCTTAATGCTATACCTACACCTGCAAGACCACGAGAGCTAGCTATCGAATCTCCAGAAACTCGAAGGGTGAATTTTGCAGATTCACCAGATTGGTCAGGAGAGGTCAGGTGAATAACCACACTTGGGTCCTGTATGCGTGTCTCACAAACACAGCACACATCCATGCCCGAGTTGCTAGAGTCTTTGCTAACGAAGCCTGTTGGCCAATTTGACGGAGGGTGCGGACATTGAAGGCTCCAATATGTAATTTGGAGCGTGGTTTAAGGAGACCAGGGATGCTGTTTTATGTATTAAGGTCTATAGACCGAAGGCTAAACAAAGGAAATACAGTTAATATATGAATAGTTCACTGTTTAAAATAATAATATTGATTGACTTATCCATCGTTTGTCTGTCTATCTAACTGTAGACGTGAAAACATAAAGTATATTTTGACTGGTTGCTCTCTAGACTATGCGTTTCTCTCTATCTCCGTATCAAGATCAATAACATTGTTTTATGCAAAACTAGGGCGTCACAACAGTACCAATGGATCCACAGTGAGGATTGTTTCTTGGAATTCTTTTCCAACAGCCATTTCTTTCTCACCAGGGAGAAATAGGTACTGCCTCATATAGCATCTGCCGACATCAAACCAGCGGTGAACACAGATAGATATTACTAAAAGCCATCTTAGGAGAGAATCGGCGGGGGGTTGTCACTGTTTTTGGAGTACCAGTCTGAACTCCGACCACGCACTAGTACGGGCTCGTGGATGTCTGGGCCTTGTTGGTCGCAGGAAATAGGTGATAATAAAGCATGTCTATGGTCGATTGGTAGATGATAATGCCAAGTACGTATATAGGGTGGAGTTAGCTAAGCATTTACATGAACATGATAACAATGCTCGTCCTGAGAATACCCAGGGTGTTATTAGGTCTGCTATAGAAACGACCGTAATGACAGTCGTAACGTACACCTGATGGTTAGAAAACATCATTAGATTTCCGAAACGTCATCCGAATTTATTAATGCGGGAAAACTGATTCCAACTGGCTCGGACAACATTGAAGAGCGAAAGCAACTTAAACGTAAATTGGATAAGAGTCCTCATAATGACCACGAGCTGTGATGGGTGGCGAAAGCGGGAGAGTTGGAGAAGGCATCAGTGTTGAGTAACAGATGGCAACTATTTGGGCTTATTACGGATACTGGCATCACTAAGATGATGGTTAATGAGACTATCACGGAAGATGATAAGATCGTGATTGCATCCCAGGACAGGTGGCTAGAACGTTGGGGAGAACACTGAACCACAGTTCAGTTGGTCCACAACAACCCTTCCGTTGCCCAATCTGAACCTGAATGAGACTTAGATATCGGTCCCCCAACCCTTATCGAAGTCGAGATGGCTATTCTGAACCTGAGACGATGCAAACCAGCAGCATCTGTCGGTTCGCCATCACGGTATTTTTTAAGAGGGAGGTGGGAAATTACTGATTAAGAGTGATGCAGGTTAATAAAGTGCTCAGGAAATTGAAAGTGGCTCTCTGCCTAGCCTTGACACTACTCACTCGGTGATCCCATTTAACATGAGAAATGCTACAAGGACATCTGTGGCTAGAAGCCTATAACTTCTTCATACCCTACACTTCCGACAGCTACAACCTACAGCCGTATGGTGAACCAGAACGGACTGCGCTGCAGTTCGCTTCTCTGATAGAAAGTTGTATATCTTACAGGTGTCTGAGGTAGTGTTGTTCAGCAGCTCCAAACGGGGCTTTTGTTTTCCATGTAGGATTCCGTCATCAAACAACCCAGGTAGTAAAGGGGTCAACGCACTCTTCCAGTTCACTTCCTATCCTTAAACTGAGAGTAATTGCAGACCAATTCTGGATCATCATGTCTCACTAAACAGGTGCAAAATATCTGTCAAACATATTCAGATTTCCTCTGCATTTTTTCAGCGTCTTTGCCGTCTGCATGTTTAAAGTCCGTTAAGTGACATCTTGGGATCAAGTCAGTCGCTGTAAATTCGTACGTACGTGTGGTTGTGACTATTTGCGCTTCTATAACGAAGTTGGACAGGAATGGTGAAAGTTGGGATCTTTGGCGGACACCATTGGTTGTCGTTATTTCAGAGGACAACTTTCTGTGAACTCTTACATGAGTGCATGAGTTTGAGTAGAGAGCTTTAATTAGTTTTATATACCTGCTTTGTACTCCCTTCATATTCGAACATTGTCACAGTTGAATATCGTCTTCAAGTCGAGATATGGCACGTTTTTGGCACTGGTAAGTATGCTTGTGTCCTGAAGCCTATCAAAGAGTAAAGATCTGATGGACGCACACTCGTTTAGTTGTGAAACCTGGCTGGTTTTCCTTAATTTTTTGTTCTCGAGCATCGAATGACTTTTTCCCCCTAGATCTTGGATATACTTTTGGTGAAACTCGTTCCTCCATAGTGATCAGAGCAAAAATTTTTTTCTTATAGACTGTAATAATGAGTTAACTATAACCATATGATAAAACTATATCTGAGTCCCATCCGTTTATTTAGTACATCACTTACTGCACCTGATAATTTTTTCCATCGTCCTTTGATGGGGAACTGTTCGTTGCTGTTGCTTTGTGTCGTCACAGGTTTGAAAGTGCCTTCTCAACTTCAAGCAGAGTTGGAGTAGTGTAGTCTACATTCCATTCAGGTTCTTAGTAGATGCGGGGCAAATCAAGCGTGGCTGTAGGTCAGTTGAGTTTTTCTTCAAAATGTTTTACTCAAGGCGGCAGCTAACGCTTAGAATTTCCCAATGAATAATATTTGTTCCTCCACTGAGCTTCTCGTCAAATAAATTTGTAGATTGTTTTATGTAAATGGAAGTGCAGATAATAGTGAAAATTCATGTACATATAACTAATTGTAATACATGTCTTAATGTTCATTTATTCCTGTTTGACATATTAGCACTCTTGGCTGATGCATTATTTGTGAGTGCTGATCGACTACTGACTGAACAGTTAGAGCAATATGCATATCTTTACAGTTATGCAGCAATGGTTGTAGAAGAAATCGAACTCACTACTGAACGTCGAATTTCATGTATCCGTACTGAAGTTGATGAGGCGAAGCGGGAAGTTTTAGAAGCCAGTCGCATCTGTAGACAGGTATGTATAATTATCCTGTAGAGAATTAATTAGTTTTTATGCTCTTTAGACTGATGATTACAAAGTTTTGGTCTAGGTGCTCTTAAAACAATAGTTATTTTAACCCGATGATTGGCTAGTCTCATTCCCTTTGATGTGACTATGGGCAATAAATTGTGTCCGAAACGTAATTCAGTAAATAATACTGTTGCACTATGTGATACATCTAATAAAACAACTAAAATAAGTTGTCTACAGCGTTTTTATTTCGTTGACCTTCCAATATGACTTACCATCTGTAGAAGACTTGACGTAGATTGTATCATGTGTTTAAGAATAATAGACTTTGGCCTTATGTTTCTTAATAAATTGGGGCTCTGTACCAGTGTTCCTGCTCCCTCTGTTCTTCTTGGGGAGCAAACTGTCTGGCACAAGTCGGAGTTTGCAACTGAGAAATTCATCTGCAGGTGATATATGATTCGATAGTGAGAATTTGGTATTGATCTATATGTCAACAAGAATTTTTGAAACTTTTCTCCAATGTCTCCCTTCCTTTGTAGTTCTTAAATAAACTCTTTTCAACGTGTGCTCAAAGCGTTCAGCTTGGGCATTCAATTGAGGATGAGCTTATAATATGCAAATGTGATTTATTTTGTCGACTATAGAGAAGTCTACAAATTCATGAGATGCCACCTGAGAACCATTATCAGAAACGATAGTTTTTAGTATGTTAAATTGGCTGAATAATTCTAATAGCCTATGAATAGTCATTATAGGAGCATTTCTCTCTCTCTCTCTCTCTCTCATGATAACAGTTATTCCTAGCTATGTCGTCTGGGTATCAACGACTACAAGGAAGTTATTATGCTTTTACGGGCATGAGAATAACTTTAATTTTGTCGTCATTTTTGCTAAACGTGCGCAATTGTCATGCAGATTAAGTGTAGCTATTGTTTTAGGACAGAATTCTAATTTCTTTTGAAATACATTAGAAAAGTGAAGACGTATTGTCTGAATGAGTTTCTGTAAACCTAAAGATAAACGTGAAATAGAAAATGATTCCTTTTTATCCTATTTAACGCAAATAGGATTTAGTAGCCAGACACAAATCGAGGGCTTTTATCATGTCTATTCCTAACAAATAAAAGCAGAGGAATATCTGACAAAAGTCATTTACCATCGGCGTATTCTCTTCTAAATTGTAAAGGACTATGAGTTTCCTCAATCAGCTTAATAATTGCACCATATGCATTATGAGGGATGTTATGGCAATTATGAATAGCTGGATCATTAAGGACATGATATACTTTACTACCAATTATTGTTACATCTGACGTAGTTTCAGTCCGGAGACGAACTGGAATGAGATTGACAAAAACAGTGAGACGAAATCGATTTTGGTCATATTCTTATTTGAAATTAGCGAATATACCATTAGGTTTTATAAAATTGGGTACATCTTAGGATTTACCTGATTTATTTTGATATCGTTGAAATAAATGATTATGTCATTTGCAGAATACATCGTTGTGACCTTTTTCCATGACATTTCCTACATATATGTTAGAACAGTGTTTTGCGAAATGAGGTTCTCCACATTTCCGAAATGTGGATCTGGCGTATTGCACAGTTGTTTGTTTAGCTGCAGTTAGACTCTGTGTTGTAGGTTTCTGGGGTTGTTTGGACTTCTACACTCCCACTTGATGCTTCCGCTGAGTGTGAATCTTAACTTGCTGATATGCTAAGGCTGTTTTAAGGTTTTTTAATCATCGGCGTTCGGATGTGATTTCCTGAAGTATTACTCGTGCGTCGTCATTAAAACTTGTCAAATGTGATTTCTTTCTCCCGTTCATAATTAAACTAAATAATGACTTCAGATATTTTTTTCATTCATTCATCTCCGCTCTTTATGCCTTCCTACATGATTTGATAATCTGAAGTGTTGTAGCTGAAACGCAGCAGTATCATTTTGTGTTTGTTCATGTATATATCATATTATTTTTTCAATGAACAAAATATTCTCTCGAGATTTCGTTTTGCAATTTTTTTTGTAGTGGAATAACATGTCTGGAAGTGGAGTCAGTTTACGTGCGTTTCGAGATCTTCCATCTCTCTTAAATTGCTTGTCATGTCGGCCTGTTTCATTTGGTGTGTTCCGCTTTGTTCGTGTAGTTTTCCACACTAAGCGTGTTGATTTCGAGTTAAACTTGGACACCATGAAACCTTACTGCATAGTAGTGAACGAACTGGCTGAGGTAAACGAATATTTACGTCCCGCGCTTCTTGCTTTTGTTACAGAGTTACTCGCCTCTTCGGTCGAGGGAATGGAAGACTTAAGCCAGGTACTGTCAATTCTCTTTTCGTTGGTATTTGAGCTGTGAAGTGTTTTACTTTAAGCCTACATTGTTATCAGTTTTATTATAAATCTTCACGAAAGACATCCATAGTTTGTTGATGAAAATGGGATTACGTATCCAAGCTAACACATTATACAAATTAATAAGTCTTCTGAAGATCAGTTCGAGTCATTTGGAGAGAAGAGTGTAGATTTTAGAGTCCTCAAGATCTCTAACTGTAGTATGACCCAAAGCGTATCACAGTGGTGTATATGTGTTGACTCTTTATTATTTTGGGAATTCAGTATATCCCATTAATTTCTGTTCATTGAGTCCTTCTTTGTTTACTTTATCGTCTATTTGTTCCTGTTCACCTTCTCTATCTATGCTGTTGCAATGGGCACATTAAGCTAATGCGTTTTTGTGTGACATTTCTTGTCACTTTGTGACAACATAACAATAGTTTTAAGTATTACTGACTGATGAATTTGTGTACCATATATCAAATACATTTTCTTCCTTCCTTGTTCCACTTATCAATCTTCCGTTCAACGTACATGATGTAGTACAGTTTCCCAGCTACAAAATAATTCTCGTCATTCGTTCTCTTGAAATTGACTTTATTTAAGTAGCGTCAATGAAATGGCCGTTTCTATAGTTCCATATGATAGAATTCACCCATGGTTTCATCCCGGCTGCAATCTGTTGGAGCAAAGGCAGAGATGACAAAGAGAAATCGTTTATCTTGCTGGTTACTTTCTATTCGAAATGAACTTTCTAGCTTAACGGTACGCAGACAACTGTTGACAGGGATCCAGTCGAGTAGTGAAACTTTGGCTTAAGCACTTAGTGTGACAGCTACACCAGCGAGGCCGGTTGTCGATACCAAGGGGTCGTTGACTAAGCGCACACGAAACGTAGTACTTTTAGAGCTGACAGATGGGTAACTAATTCGAAACACTTCACTGGGACCTTGTACGCAGGTCTTTGAGATGAAGCATACATCAATGACAAGGCTTTCCAGAGTTCTAGTTAAACCTGCCTGTTTTCCAGTCTGCATCAAGGTGCGAACGTTGTAGGTAATGGGCTTAAACAGTTTGTGTGGTTTCAGGATAACTGTGTCAGATGGCGCACTGAAAGACGGCCCTATAGCGGCGACTGTTTAGTGACTCAACACTGCACAGTCAGACCAGAAGTCTAAGCTATGGAGAGCAGCTGATTGAAGTGAAGATAAAGACGAAAGCGAAAATGATATTAATTAAAAAACAGTTCATATGTAAAAAGAAATAAAAGCAATATGATAGCAATGAATTGAGTAATCGGTTAAAAAGTTTTCACTGTGGAGACCTTAAGTATTCACAGGAAAGTTGGTTAACCGCTTCGAAATCTTGATTTTATACTGTAAATCCATATTTTGTGTGAGGACAGGCACCCAGACTGAAGTAGGTGATTGTCTTAGGGTACCACTCTCTGAGCCTTTGACTTAAAGCATAATCCACAAGGTAGTTGAGCAACATCAGCATCTGCGTCCCCATGGTTTCTGGTGATCAAAATAGGTTCATATACCACTCGTTCCTTCTGGAACCTGGAGCTCATGTACATCACTTGTTTGGAATCAGGGTTTTTAACTCCCCTAGGGGAACTGTCAGCATCCACCAATCCGACGATGAGTACCAGACATTCGCTTTCACCCTTCCAGTCCTGTGGAAACACCCCACCATGTGGAGGCAGTTAATAGGACTTCTCTGGTGGAGCCTGTAAACACACCGGTGCATTTGGTGGCCTGTACAATCATGCAGACTAGGAACAGGTGTTATTTAAAAAGAGCAATCACTGTCATTTTTTTCCACCGTGTGATTATTTATCATATGCTGTTTTTCTAAGTGTCTTTTTAACTGTTAAATATTTGCGTTTCACAGCTGGAATACAAAAGAATGCTGGTTGGTTTACTTGTACATTTACTATCATGTGGACACGTAATTCCTGTAATAAATACAATGCACAGACTATTTTTACGAAATCGAGTGGATGTTTCAATTGTTCGACATTTTGTTACAGAAGTACGTGTCATTTTAATTCTATCGTGCAATAGTGATTATATTATTATGAAATTTAGAAACAATTTTTGTGCTATAAATGGCATATATCTCTTATGATTGATTAGAGGAAGTCAAAAAAATAGCAAATCTAGAGACCGTGTATGCTGTAGCCTCACTGATTAGACTATAGTTACAGCAGGAGTACTGGTAGACGGAACTAACAAATCGGGAACCTGTATTGGAATTTCGTTAGATTACGCGGTCTGTAGGACTAACGACTTATAGGAACGCCTATTAGACATCAGCTTGGTTTTACTGAACTTCGATCTGTTGCTGGAGCTTTGAAGCAGCTTTAAATGTGTGACCACTATTTCCTCTGTAGAAACCTGTGCTGGTTCACTTTTGTATGAGCTTCCACGTTGATTTTGTCTGTCTGTCCCTTGTTACATCACTGGCATCTTGGGGAACTAGGACCGTTACACAGTGATATAAGATCTCATATTATTTGTGTCCATTTATCTTCACTATATATACTTTTTTTCTTAAATACTGTTGATGCGTCTCAAAGACTTGTTATTCGTGAAAGTTTGTCATATGATATGTCAGTTCTTTTAAATTCTAAAATCATTTTAGTAGAAAGATGTTATTTATATTATGCAACTAGTTCACCTTCAGTTATTTGTTGGTTGAGAACCACAGTAGGAAGCGCAACAAAAAATGATATTCTGAGAAATAGGTAATTTCGTCATTATATATTGATATAATGTCCAACTTTGCTGGCTAATAATACAGAATGAAATATTCTGTCTACGGCTGTCACCATTTTTAGTTGGGGTTTATAAGCAGGAATAACCTGGATTAAGCCTTGCGCAGTGTAATATTCTCTGTCACTTGCAAACTGGATGGCGATAACTAACGGTAAAAGTGAATATTCTTTCTCGTATTCACGTAAGTCTATAATAGAAGTAGATCTTCAATAAAGTTACTCGGGAAAAAAACAAAAAGCACAAAGGCGGTTACAGCGAAATAATTATCTTTTCGATAACTTATTTTCAAAGTTTTCAAATTCATAAATATACAATTCGAAGGACAGACAGTAATAGTGGGAAATTTCAGAAAATTTGTGAAAAGGTTAAGGACTTCGTACTGATAAGTGTCTCTTTATTTCTGGAAAATGACAAAACTAGTAAAAACTAAAAATTACTATGCAACAGTTTTAAGGTCACGATGAACACAATGACCATACATATTTTTCTTAAATGCGAATTTGAAGTTTACCAAAGCTTTGCTACATGCAGATGTTTTTTCCTAACGCCTTTGGAACAATTCCATTGGAACGACTTTTCGGAAGAATTCAGAGACATTCGATTCACTAAATCCTTGGTGACAGAGCTCGAAGTATTTTTATTTTCCCCTTTCAACAGGCAAGCTAAACAGCGTTTGTGGGCGCATTTGTGTAATATATAAGGACTTAGAGATTCTGGTTGAAGATTTAATTACCAAGGTTCCTCTTCACAGAAGATACGTGGATGATATGCAGTATGCAACAAACGGGATTTTATAAGGGGTTTGCTGAAAACTTATCAGTGCATATGTACAGCATATGCAGTGGGGAAAGAAATCAGACTCTTAACAGAGACATTATTGAGTAACACATATCCCCTGAAGTTTAGTAATCGGGGCGAAAATGTTCGAACTTTGCAAACTACTTCAGTACTCCGTTCCGAAAAAGACATGTGCATAACGCTACTACATATTTGGGGGGAATCCAACAGCTATTAATAAAAAGACATTTTATGCAACCAAACCTACTATTCCAGAGAAAATATGACATCAACTCCAGGACAAACCTATTCACCACCTAGATAATTACATCACATCCCGCTGTGTACAGCAATGTACGTACGGATGTGTGTTTGCGTCAGCACATATTGGGAGAAATAATGAGACTATGAAGTCTGGGGTGATAGATAAACAACTATATCGAAGTAGATACAGGGGATAACCCGATTTCATAGTCTCTAAGTAGAAGCCTTAGGAACAGGTCACAGGAATGAAAAGAAAAGAGCGCTTAAACCACTATATATCAGCCGTCAGGACCGTATACTCCGGTCTATTTCAGCCCTCACTGTACGAAAGTTCAAACCACTTTTGCATATTCAAAGAACTCATCCCTACTTTGAACTTTTTTTGGTAATCTTTTTTTATTTTAACGTCAAGTTTGGTATGAAGTATATCATTGAAAGGTAGTAGATAAGATTTATTACTCGGAATAAGAACGATAAACATGCAAGAGAATTCATCGAAGCATAACACTCCAGTTAGATGACAATCAACAGGTAAATGGCCATTGACCAAAACTATAAACTGTTAAAAAGAAATCAGCTAACGACAAATGAAGCAGGCAAGGTCGTAGTCGTAAATTGTGTCTACGGTATACAGTAATTGTTCGGAATAACTATAAAGGTTAACAAATGTTAAAAGAAACCCATTCCAACTCAAGCAATTAACGTTCAAGATCAGATAATAACCTTATATAAGCATTCATGCAGCTTGAAAATGTTTTTTTGATACCGGTGAAGTGACCTAACTTTTTGCCAGACCTCACATCGGTGCATCAAGACATAACAAAACTAAAATCAAAGAGAAAAAAGTTTTTGAAAGTCGTGATAAATGAACAAGAAGCAGTACAGCAGTCATAAATCTGACATGTTTGTTAAGAAAAAGTGCGTGGATACAACTATACCAATGAGATCGATCCTTAGCCGACCAACGATTGTGGTAACCACGTGGGCCCAGATAGGGAAGCCTAAGTTTCCTTCCACTCTGTGGGCAGCGAGGAAATGTCAGTCACTCTTACAACTTTCAGCACTTAAGTTCCTTCTGATCATTATCAGCATTCTAAATCTCTGTCTTCAAATCTTTCCATACCTATCTCGTTATCATTGATATCTTTCAACTCCGTTACCCTCGATCACGGCTTGCATTCATAGAACCCCATTTCTGGTCTCCTGGAACTGCGCCTCAAACTCTGTGTTAGATCTTTTTGTGATTACATTATCCGTCGAATCGGTCAAACACCTTCTCAGGCGACATCTGGTGTTATGGATGTAAGCTGTGTTTGCGAAATACCCACAAGGTACCAACCTGCAGTTATTCCATTGAACTCTTAAGGTTGATATGAAGAATATGCGAAATTCGCTTCTCTAGAGATTCGATGACTGCTTCTTTTGGTCTTGCAAGTCCTAGTGAAGCATTGAGTGCTGAGACAGAAAGTGAAAGCCTCAATTGGATCCCAGTTCACATTCATCTGTGCACTATCAGACTGAGTAGTGCAGTGAGAATGAAAAGGACTAGGAAAACTTACTCTTACTTCATTGTAATTTTCGCTGAGGCTCATTGAATAAATTGAAAGATGAATCATCCTGAAAACTATCAAGCCTCCTACTGACAGCAAAAGTTCAGATGTTTTATATTCCTTTTATTTATTAGAACATAAACAAACAAGGCCACAAAGAGATGCACCATACAAAATAATACAACAACATTATGAAGACATAAAGCGAAGAGAAGTGGATAGAAGATAAAAAACAACAATGAAATTAGAATGATTAGGAAGGCAATCCAACAAGATATATTCAAAACAACACACTCATTACTTTCCAGCAGCAGAAGATAACAGGAAGCTACAGCATGACCGCCACTGGTTTCGATTCTGAGCCATATCTGATAACGTTTTAAGTCACTGAGTTGCATACTCTCTCGAACGCCACCCAGAGAGTCGTGATGCAGCAACAGATGCTAACGTGATACAACTACCTTTCAATCCACGGCGACACATCGCATACTGACCACCCCTCCGCTTCTTACGTCCAGCTCCAGGGTTAGCAAACAGAGCGTTGTAGACCCGTATTACAGTCAGACTAACATCGCGACGGCGTCAAAGGTGACCCTAGATTGACGTACGCTACTCTGGCTTTCGATACGCGGTTGGAAAATTCACCGCCCACACCTCCACCAGCATTCACACAACTACCCAGATACACGAACTTCTCACCTACTAATAAACGGCTCACCACTAAGGGTAAACGCAGGCACAGGCTCTTGCCAATCTTGCAAGAGTACTTTACACTTTAATAGTGCGAAGCAAGTACCATACTTGCGGACACCAATCGTCAACTAATTAAGTGCAACTTGAGCAGCCTGTGTGTTATCGCACAGTAAGACGATATCATCTGCACTTTCAAGGTCGAGTAGGCGTTCTCCGAGTAGTAGATCTACACGATTATGACACACTTTCTTCAGAGCTGTCTTGAGAATACCATCGATGGCAAAGTTAAAGAGGAATGGAGAAATCGGGCAACCCTGTGTAACCCCACTGCTGGTTTGGAACACTGGTGACAGGTGGTTGTATGCACTTACTCTACCTAAGGTTCTTTATTTAGGGCTTTCAAGATGTTAATAAATTTCTCAGATACACCCATCTCCAACAGAGTTCCAGAGTACAACTCTGTCCAACGAATTGAATGCAGCCCTAATGTCCGGAAACATAACGATTGTTGGCCTGGAATACGTGTGGTGATGTTCAAGTATCTGGTGGGGGATGAACACATGGCCAACGGATCCACGACCTGGACGATAACCGGCCAACTCCTTGCGAATCATTTCCTCACGTGTTTTGTAAAATCTGAGTAGTATGATAGCAGCCAATATTTTCGGCGCGACTGATAACAGACTAGTTACATTCATTCGACCAAAACCTAAGTGGAGTGCGGTTCGAACCTAAGATCTACCAGTCGAAAGTTGAGTTCTGTTCATTGAAAACATTTACTGAATCTAACTTTAGCTATCATTGCACGTCAAGTCACGGGGGCGCTTCAGACTTTTACCGTACTTTGTGAGCCACTTCATTCACTGACTAGCCTTCCTTGTCTAGAATTTGTTACCTAACTACGTTATGACACACGCTGGTGCCACCATATGCGATCATTGCTATGAAGATACCTTTGTTCGGAAACCTATTACTTCTTGATATCCTCTACATTCAATGGCCATACCTCACAGCCGTTTAACAGGAAATAATGGACTGCAGCGTGATGTATACCCATTCTACCTATAACAGGAAGTCGGACATCTCGCCGGCACCAGTGACGATGCAAGTTGGCAAATGCCAAATGGTTTTTTCCTTTCCGAGGTGACTCTCCATCAGCCAACAACCTAGGCAATGAAGGGGTCAACGCCTCCCACCATTTCACGTCCTCTCTGTAATGTTAGAGTAGTTGCATGTTCGTCCTGAAGCATCGTCTCACATTTGATAGGCGTAAAACACATTTCAAGAATACTCAAATTTCTGCCGAACTCGTTCAAAACACTGCATTTTGTCAGCTTCTTCACCCACCAGGACGATATCTTCTGCGTACTCCGAGTCAACCAAATACACCCTAGGAAGTAGATCTGAAGACAACTCTACATTTGCTCTTACATAGCTGCGTGAGTTCGGTTGGAAAGCTGTGGTTATCATTATATACTTGCTCGGTGCCCATTTCACAGTAAGACACTGTCACACACCCCACACCGTCGACGGAGTCAAATGCGATTTTCATGTCATGAAATATGGCAGGTGTGGGCTTCTCGTAACCACGCATGTGTTACACAACCTGCCGAATAGTGGAGACTCAGTTGATGCACTCTCAACCAGGTCTGAAACCTACTTGACGTCCTCAAATTCGCCGTTCTCCAGCTTTAGTTATGCACTAGATGACTGCAGAATCAAGGATCTTGGAAACGATGTTAGTCAAACTGGGTCTCTTCCTACTTAGAAACTGGGATGATTAGTGCAGTAAACCAGTCTGACGGGACTACTGATTCCCATTTATAGCCTAGTGCCTCAGTTTCTTTGTTCATTAATCTCCTTCCTTCAGTGAGAGTTGGAGGACCGATATCTACGTGTCATTCAGGTTCGCGTTGGAGGCTGGGTAACTGAAGTGTTGCTGTGGGCCAGCTGGACTGCTTCGTAGTGTTCCGCCCAACGTTTTAGTGTTCCGTCCTGCGAGATCATCAGTGTCTTATCTTTTTCCGCGATATTTTCACAAAACACCATTTTCATCTTACCAGTATCCTTAATAAGCCTAAATAATTGGCAGGTATAACCTGACTGAATACCACATTTGGTCTGCTTAAGATTATAATCTCTACCACGTTGAGATATATGCCTTGCTATCTCCCTAAATGCATATCACACCTCACATGAATATAATTTGTAGAAAAATTATGCTTAGTAATTTTTTTTAGTAGCTAGCTATTCCTTGTAAAAAAAAGGTGAGAAAATCATATAATCCTTTGTTAGTCGTTGAATTCGTTTATATTTGTGCTGTAGCCAATATTTGTTAGTGTCTCGATTTTTAGAAAATTATTGTCTTTTTCTTATTTTAAGGTTCTAAAAGTTGCTGCCCCACCTTACACAACATCCTTTATGCGTACACTACATCCCCTCGTTGTTCACCCAGATATTAGCGATGGATTGAAAGCGGGGAAGGACACAGATTACGTGAACGAATTTCTTGGTACGTTTATCGCTAAGATATTGATAGACTTCTAGTTCATTACTAATCGTTTTAGTACACTTTGTGATTTGTTTTTTTTTTTCCAGAGTATTATGAAAAAGAGAATTCGTTGTCACCAAGCTATTAAAATGTAGTTATTTACTGATGTGTACATACTTATAAATATTTATTTCTTGTCTTGATCTATTTCCTGTATTTTTTGATCATAATAATAGCTTAAAAATCAGTCAGATACGGCTTTTTGTTTTGTCTTCTTCTATAATAGTATGTCTGGGATTTTCGACTTCTTGTGGTGACTATTTAACTCTATGTAGAAGGCTATCTCCCGTTCTTTGTAATGCAAACATAAACTATGAGCACAAAACTGTTTGCGATCAAAATATAAAATTGGCCGGATTGTTTTATTTCATCTATCTAAATATAAATCTATTCTAGTTGAATGTACATTAATTATATTTACGATTCATCAGTAATATGTGTTCGGAAGTAAATTTCTGTGGGACATTATTTATCGAATAGTAATTATGTATTCCTCAACACCAAAGCCTTTTCTAATCAAATTAGAAAAATGTTTGTAGAAAAGTCGAAAAAGCTGTACAGTTCTCTCTCAGCTAAACATTCACACTTTATTGTGCTCACAAGTGATTATGGAAATTTAATTTTTGGTTAGCTCGCACCAAGGCAATTTGAAGTCCACGTAACCATAAGTCTAGATAGTCGTTGATAAAACGACTTTTATTTGTGTATGTTATGTTTGATGTATGTAGATCACTATATTGTTCCCTTAGATGGGGTTTTACTAACCAAGTACCGTGATTGAATGTTTTTATTTCGAGATGATGAAGATACTGACTTCCTTTCTGGTAATTTCCTTTAACGTAAAGAATTTCATCCATCGAAAGAAAAAACCAGCTTTCACCCATCTGTGAATTTTATACAGAAATGTTTACATTAAATAAGTGGTCAAGAAGCCTTCAAATATTCTTATACACTGTCAAAAGCATGTTATAAAAACATTTTTTCTGCAAACCTAAGGCTTTAAAGAGTTGATTAATTCTCGTCACATGATCCTTGAAAATTTGCAATTTCCTTGGTGCCTATTTTTACCTCCCTGAATGTTAAAAATAAAACATTTAATTAAAGTCGAGTTTCTGTCACCTTATATCACTCAAAGGCAAACAATATCTACAGGATGATTCAGTTTTCACGTTTTATTTTGGGCCTATCTTTTGTTGTATTTGAAATCGTAGTCAATAAATATAAGTTTTTTGATTCAATTAGATTTACATTTTTAAGTTGAGCAGCAATTTGTTATATGCTTTTTCGCCTACCGCAGCATGTTTGAGCAATCTACATATCCTTTTCTAGCGTTAGTTGTCAAACAAATCTGCTCCACTCACGAGTAAACTGTTGTTGTCTTAGCGGTAACTAAATATTCCAGTCAGCACAGTAGGATGCACACACGCTGTGAACTACATAAATATAAACTATAACTTATGCACACAGGTAGCTCCGTAAATAACTTTTCATTACTTCCATTGATAGTATACATATTCACTTCAACAAGTGTTTTCTAAAAATTTTGCAAATACATGCTTCTTGTCAATAATTACCAGTTTATAATATTAGAAACTATTTTGTTATTAGTGTAACGTGCATGTGAAGTAAATTATGATTCTTCTAGTGTTCAGCCCATGCTTATCCTGCTTGTGTCTCAAAGTGACAAGTAATACTTTCAGGCTTGATTGATACTTCTTGTTCTCATCCAAAATCTACTGCTATGGGACAGTTACTATCGCTTTTCGTCTCTTCGTTGTAAGAGGGTTCAGGGTGTCCAGATCTAGATCAAGCAACAGTCTATAATGTCTCCGACTGTTGGTCTGAGCCATGTGGAGGAGATGCAGACTAATTGGCTGGGGTCCTCAAGACGATTGGAAACAGTGGTTGAGGACTGTTGATGATATAGCTGAAAATCATTGACAATGGTGCAGATTTATTCACTCATTGGCATCTTCTAAAGCATGAACATTTGCACTAACCATTGTCTTCAAATTGTCTATTCTCTCACACAACTTTGTCTTCTTTGATATCACTGATTTTCTATCCAGCTGTTCTTTGTTTATTTCTGTGGAGTGTGGCAGCTGGAGCCGATACACTTGTGTTTCGGGTTCCAGGTTGATTTTGTCGGTCAGTCGTCACCATAATATCAGTTGTGATTTCATCTCTTTCAGTTGTTTTAACGGAATAACTTGTCGATAAATCATTTGAAGGTAAAATCACAGCTATGAGGTTTGTTTAAGGATATATGGTAGATTAGCTATCATGGTTGATATTTCAATTTGAATCTGAATTTTAAGGGAATGGTGTTGACAGTTCAAAATTTTAGAACCATGACTCCGTTTGTGATGTGACTGAATTTAACTATATTGTCTGATAGTCAGTCTTGGGGGTATTTAGTTATTGGAAGGCGTTGAGTTTTCGTAGCAGCATCTGATTTGGGATATATTCATTCGAACGATTAAAGTGGTTAATGGGATAAACCGATTACGCATATTTTCTACTTGGGTTGCGCAAGCTGGTAGATTTTAGTTAAATATTCGCTGTTCGAAAATGGTAACGCTAAGTGAATGAAATACACTGATTGTAAAGGTTATCACTTACATAACACAACTGTGTATCTATTCTTGGGCTTTTGGCTGAATTTATCCAAACAGTTCTAAATAATATCTCTCTGTCATTATTTTGTGCATATTCTTATATTTTTCCGCGCATGCCTTTATGCTTAATAGGTTAGTTGGCACTAGACTTCTCCATCTTAGTGACACATACCTCTGTAATGGCTTAGGAAAGTAGATCTCTATTGATGACCATTGACTTATCAATCGTTATTTTGGTAAATGATGTCATAAGTTTGGTATTCTGCTTTAAAGCCAACATAAGAGACCATTAAGGCTATCCACTGATAGAAAAATTGGAAAAAAGGTAAATCTTCGTAATATAGTATATTTTCTATTAGGGTTGTACTATCTTCAAATGATGCCGTGACTTCTCTTGATTTCTAAAGTAAATAACATAAATTATGACATAAATAGTTGGTGCAATGAGGAGAAATTGTAAATTCTGTTCATCTACGATGACTAGCTGAATAAGACTTGATTTTACGTGCGTATTGAGTCAGTTATCTTCAAAGTTCAAACTGAAATCAATATAGACCGATGGACAAAACCAACCCAGAACACCAAACAAAAGTGCATTGGTTTACTTTAACACACATCAAACCATTGATTCCTAACATCGCGAAGGCCCCAACCAGGTAGACTACGCGGCTCACACCAACAGTCACAAGCCACATTTTCTGCATACTCAGCCTCCTGCTAACCTAATCCAACTTCAGCTATAATTGTACGTCGAGGCACGGGGGCGCTTCAGACTTTTACCGTACTCTGTGAGCCACTTCATTCACTGACTAGCCTTCCTTGTCTAGAATTTGTTACCTAACTACGTTATGACACACGCTGGTGCCACCATATGCGATCATTGCTATGAAGATACCTTTGTTCGGAAACCTATTACTTCTTGATATCCTCTACATTCAATGGCCATACCTCACAGCCGTTTAACAGGAAATAATGGACTGCAGCGTGATGTATACCCATTCTACCTATAACAGGAAGTCGGACATCTCGCCGGCACCAGTGACGATGCAAGTTGGCAAATGCCAAATGGGCCTCTCGTTTCCGAGCTGAGATCATGTCAGCAACCTGTCTGTTCGGAGCGAGGCAACTTCCCAAGGAAGTATTCGATGCATTCCACCACTTTATCCCTGTCCTTAAACTGGAAGTAGTTGTAGGCCCATCCTGAAGCATCATTTATAGGTGCGAAACGTATACCAAACATCTTCAAGCTTTTGCTCATAGCACCGAGAAGACCCTATATTTTTTCAGCGTCTTCACCTAGCAGGACAATGTCTTCTGCGTACTCCTATTCAGGCAAATGATCTCCAGGGATTTTGCCACTCCCACTGAATTCAGGGGTAACCATTCCGCCAGGCTCTGATCCCAATAAGAAGCGAAAGCAGCCAGAAGAAATTTAAATAAGAGTCTTCGCAAGCTGCTGGTGGGCAGCGAAAGCGGTGGAAAAGGTATCACTATTACGTGATACTTATGTTAAATGCTTATAAATTCCGTGATTGGTTGTTTCATTGAGTTGTAGGATTATATATATATATATATATATATATATATATATATATATATATATATATATATATATATAAAAATTAACTACCGTAAATTAAGTTTACTTGGTGTTTTGATATGACAAAAGTTTGTACTATTAGTACACTTATTTTTCTCATGTATAGGTTTTCGATGAAGCTTGTCATTTGATAGGTGAACTGTATGAAGTACAACTCATGCGTACTCTAGCTTTCATCCACCTGGAATTTTCGATTACTCCCAAATATCCTTCGTCAACCATTGAAGTGTACCTTGGCTTTTTATTCTATACAACCTTTTAATTATGAATGCTTTTCCAAAAATCATTATTGCTGAATTGGTTCATAGATCATAATCGAAATATTACCATTGGTACCTGCCATGATCTGAAGTCGGTAGTCACTACTACCTCTCTTTTTAAAAACAGTCTCAGTTTAGGCTGACTCTGGATTTTGTAAATCCTAGTCAATAGTTTTACGCAGTAAATGAGAAAAAAGTGGGAATTAAAACAGAATTTATCGAGTTAAGCATTGCTGTCTTATCGTTTTGGATTTCGTTAATACTACTGGAATCGATTGGTATATCTAGAATACGAAATACCGTCGAGTTAGTCACTTTAGTTAACGGGTAGTGTTTGATCAGTTTCAGTTCATAGTAGTCACATGTGAAGATCGATTATCAGACTGAAGGACATTTCATATATTAATGAAGATTTACGATCGAGTTATTATTAGTGATGAAACTCATAGGCATTATGCCCAGTTTTTTCGTGAAACATTAGTTCGTGAGCACTGTATTTCACTGTCCTTAGGTTTGAATTAGAGTAATTCAGATGCAAATAAATCTTGTCAAGAGCGAGTGCCAGTGGTAGAACTGCGTAAATCTGACATGCCGTTCGACATGAATGCACCATTGATAACTGTAATTTTCACATTAATGGTGGATAATAGCTAGCAGTTAGATCCAGGACACGTTTCATTCGATTCTGACTCGTCAGCTGGATATACTTGCGTCCCAGTGAGTCATGTTCCCGAACAGGATGAAATGCGCATCCTCGATTCCACTGCTAACCACTCTCCTTCATTAATATCGAAACTACAGGCACCGCCAACATGAAGGCATCCACACAGGAGCCCATATGTTACTAGCAGCTGATCAGTTCGGTCCAATCGACGACGAAAATTTACCAGCTGTATATAAAATATGTAACATGCTTTATGCTATAACTGTAGGTAGTCTAAAAAGCCTACCTGAAGATTGACGTATCTTTAGTCATGTATATAGTATTGAGATTTACAACTTACTTTCATTGGGAATGCAGTGGACTTAAGCCCTGTTGTACATTTTATTGGGGAGGTTACTGTTTTCAACGATGTTTGTCGCTGTAGCTTTCTTGTAGTTACAATAAAATTGGTCAGACTTTGTCTTGTACTTTTATTTCGTTTTTTGTCGCATTCTTTCCAAGCGATAAACCCATTTTCTAGCCTGAAATCTCTTGTTTTCCAACTTGACAGCCAAGCCAATGCACGTGGAAAACGTTTTATGTGTCTAAACTTTAGTTTTCCGATCAGTCGCGGATTTACAGCATTCAGCTCATAATGTAAATTGAATACATTCTCTTTAACTGGAGAATTCTTCTGTACTCTTTTCTTGATCCCTGAAATTCTTGCATTTTCTTCAGAATAGTTTCTCCAGGTTGCATCATCATTTCCACATACAAAGCAGTCCCAACTTGTTCTTGTAGGGTATGGATCCTGTGAAGAAAAAGTAATCTGATCAGTTAAACATGTGATGATCCACAAAGCTTACGATCACAAAATGTTTAATTTGAAGTAAAAAAAGTTAACTTTCTAAACACACACTTCACCACTTGCTCAGGTAAGTTATGGATAAGGTCTTGAGAATCTAAATATGATGAAACGTTAGTGATGTAATCAGAATAGGCATGAAATAAAACTGAACAATTCAAATTTTTGTACCACGTTTGCAACACTCAGTGTCTCTTCTGTTTACATAGTATTCTGTTTATAACTATACATAAAGCTCCCCAAGCGTGCATCGATCATATTTTTACATTAAAACAGTTTCTGGAGAAAAAACGTAATAACCAGTGGCCGACACTGGCCATATTTCTTGACCTGAAGGATGTATTTGATTCATTTAACCTTAAGGTGTTGTGGCAGTGTCTGACTGTAACGCGAGTACCGAGCAAGTATTTAACGCTAATCAAAGCTCTCAACTATAACTAATACTTCCATGTAAAGGACCTATGGATAGTTGCCTTCAGAACTGACGACAGTTAATATGTCAACCACAGGTGTACATTGTCACCGTTCCTATTTAACTTCGTCATAGACGTATTATTGGATATAAAATCCCCGTCTAAGTAGAAGACATGGAGCTGTTGCACGGTTTTGTTCATAGAAGTCTTGGCAGCATTGCTTGTATTTCGTGGAATCACAGTGTGAGCTATCATGAGGTCAGGTGAAAAGTACTAGGCAAGATGGGCAAGTCGATTGATTAGGTTGTGAATCAGAGTCGACTGAGATGGCTTGAACGTGCACTGCTCATTCCAAGGCACCTGAATGTAGTAAGTTGGAGAAAGTTTGATTATGTTGGAATAGGGTTCAAGGTGTCCAGATCATGATCTGTCACCAATCGATGAAGTCTCTGACTGTTGGTCTGAGTCATGTGGAGGAGATGCAGACTAATTGGCTGGGGTCCTCAAGACGATTGGAAACAGTGGTTGAGGACTTGATGAAATGGCTGGAAATCATCTACAATGATGCAGATCTTCAGTATCGAGCGTAGGCAGCTGTTGAAGAAACTCTATAAATTCTTGGAAGTGTTTTCGTGACGTGCCAAGTTTCTCAACCACAAAGCAGCACTGACTTGACATTGGTATTGAATATACGGATCTCGGTAACGCTGTATGCTGAGTGCAGTAGATCTCCACGCTGATTTCAGGTTAGTGAGAACCTGTCTTGCTTTTCCCATACTGGTTTTGACATCCTCATCTGTGCCGCCGCCTGTAGTTGAAACGATGCTGCCTAGGTAGGTGGAAGAGACTACTTCCTTTAGATTTCTCTCGTTGATGGTGAATAGTACTTGTTGTTGGTTGGGTATCTTCATCCTCTCTCTCCTCTCTATGTCCACTTGAAGTCCCGTCTTCCTTGCCTCTTTGGTCAACTTGTTGGTTTTCACCTGTAGATCTTTCGAGTTTTCGAGACACGACATTAGACATAAATCGTCATCGGCGAAATCCAAATCTTCTAGGGTCTTCCCATCGGTCCAGCGTACGCCTCTCTTCTCGCTCCTCACAGTTTGTTACATAATCCAGTCCAGTCAACCACTATCACGAAAATCATCGGTGATAGTAGGCAACCTTGTCTTACTCCTGTCTTCACTTCGAAGGCATCACTCAGATTTCCATTGTGGATCACTTGGCATATAGCATCATATAGCATATAGCTGCTGTTGAATGGGATTGATCAAGGTTTGTAGCACTCCGCAGTGTTGAAGCAACTGCCAAAGTACTTCTCAGTCAACGCTGTCGAAGGCTTTTTCAAAATCGATGAAGTTGAGGCACAGGGTTGACTACCTTTCTCTACTCTGTTCTATGATGATGCGAAGCGTTGCAATTTGGTCCGCACATAAATTGTTTCTCCTGAAGCCAGCCAGCCTGTTCCGGTGGTAATTTTTGAATGGAGAGTATTATTTAGTCTCTAGTATGCTGCAGCTTAGTATTTTGCTTGGGATCGACAGCAGCATGATTCCTCGCCAGTTCTTGTAAAGACTTAGGTCGCCTTTCCCTGGGGGGTTTGACAAGGTAGCCCTTCTCCCAATCTGCAGGTACCTTCCCTTCCTTCCAAACCTTTTTCAGTAGTGGTGTGAGCATGTCAGCTGTTGTCTCTGCGTCTGTTTTTAGTGCTTCTGGCGGAATTCCATCTGGTCCTGCTACTTTGCCAGATTTCAGCAGTTTTATGGCATTCTGGACTTCGGATTTTGTCGTTGGGCCTATGTTCACTGGTAGTTCAGTGGCTGTAGGTAGTATTTCTGGACGAGTTGCAGGTGGTGGTCGATTCAATGAGCTTTTTGAAGTGGTCAGCCCATTGTTTCCTTTGTTCCTCCTATTTGGTAACGAGGTTTCCTTCACTATCTTTCATTGGTTTAATCTATGTTGATCTCTTCCCAGATAGTAACCTGGTTATTTGATATAATGTTGTCAGGTCTCTCCTACCAGCAGTCTGTTCTGCTTCACCTGCCAATGTATCGTAGAAGTGTCTTTTGTCTTTCCGTGCACTCTTTAACTTCTTTGTCCAGTGTTTTGTACGTTGTACTCAGTTCGGCTTTTCGTTGTGCATCTTTGCACTGGTTCATCTTCTGCTTCATCATCTTCCTCTCTCTCCTCCATCAGCTTGCATGTGCCTGTTGAGATCCATTCCTTGTCTTGTTTCCTTTTCCTTCCTAATACGGTTATGCAGGTTTCCTTCCACATCCCTTTCAAAGAGTTCCAGTGTTCTTCCTCGTCCGATCTTTCAGGGATGTTGCTCAATATCTCCCATTTTGTTCTGATGGGTGACGTGAAGATGTCATTTGTAGTTTTGTCCTTCAGTTCCGTTTCTGTTCTGGGTGTTAAACTTGAACTATGGTCTATCATTAACCTCTTTCAACGCTTTCAACTTGATTTGGAAGGTTGCTTGCATTGGATAATGGTCTGAACCTACATCCTCTTCTAGATCTGATCTTGTGTCCAGTAGGCTGCGTCTCACTATCTTCACATTGAGATGAAGTCGATCTGATTTTTAGTGTATCCTGGTGTTTGGTGAAATCGATGTCGCTTTGTGAATATCCTTGTGTTTGTACACTACCTCCAATCACCAAATTGTTGAATGCTCAGAAATCTGAAACAGTTCTCCGTTCTCGTTCATTTCACCGAGTGCTTCTCGACCTCTAGTTAGTTCTCTTCCTGTGCTGTCCGCTCCCAGTTTGGCGTTCATGTCGCCCATTAGGATTCTGACGTCGCCAACTTGAGTCTTGTCTGGTACGGATCGCAGTTGTCTGTAGAATTGCTTCTTCTTCTCTTAATCTGCATTATTTGTTGGCGCGTAGCACTGAATGATTGTGACTTTCCTTTATTTTGAGTTGAATCTTGCTCTCAATATCCTGATGCTGGAGAAGATTGGTTCATACTGCATGAGAGAGAGCCTTCGACGCTGTTAGGGACATCATTATTTTGAATTGAATTTCAATAATAACAACTGATATGACATTAGCCTCCATATAAGATTTTCTTGAAGAGAATTCCTCCCAACTGTGTAATATTATTAAAAAACTGATAAACTAAATCTCAATATTTCTGACGCAAATTACACAAGATATAACTTTAGCATCTGAAGAAGTTGTCGAAAGTAGTATTCTTTGTTTATTAAAATGTCTTTTCAGATAAGTAGTACGTAGCAATATTTAATATATTTTAAGAAAAATACTTACTGATATCTCATTATGTTTACTTGGTTTTCTCATTTGAAATAATTCAAAATAACCAGCTTCTTTGAGTTCTTCCACAAGAATATCATGGTCGCTAGACTTAGGATAAGACTGGGTAGCTATAATGAAAAAACTTGGTTGCTTTTTCGGCTTCTTCATTGACTTAAATCTCAGTGAATTCCATGTGAGCGGTTTAGGACCTCTCTGTAATCCTTGATTATTTATAATCTCCGAGTGTCTTGTCAGTGTTCCACAAACAGATACTGATCGATTTGCAGCAATGTTATTTTCATTGTAGAGATGAGCAGTGTATGTCTGTGACATATTTGGATCCCTTTCAGCATACGATAAGTTACGTAAGCTGTTGTTTATCAATTCAGTCCACAAGATACGCAGAATTGTCATTGATGGATGATTTACGTGGACAGGCTTCTGACACATATACTGTACTTCCAGTACCAGCAACTAAAAATAGAAATTAATACTTTTGATGTAACTTTTTAGCGTGAGGTGGTGAAAATTCTACTACAGTATTTATAGATTGGACACAACATCATAAAGCGTGTTTGCCTCTACCTAAAAAAGGATAAGTTCTACTTAAATGTTTATAATTCCATTTTAGATTGTGTACATTAGTTTTCAAAACTCGCCTAGTTCACTAGCCGGTCTTTAACCCGGATAACGAGGGAAGGTTGAGCATAGGGCTAGCAACCCTACCCCGGAAAATCAATCAAATCGCTAGAAAAGTTCCAAAGCACAGACAAAATACAAAAAAATAAACCTATTCCTCTCTGGAATCGAGGAGACGAAATGACACCGGTTGGTGGAAGCCTTCGGGAAGCCAAGTGACCGATGTATCTTCTTTCCAGAGTAATTCCAGAGAGTAGTACGCATCGTACTAAAAAAATATTGCATAAGAAGATTATCAACTCGCATTTTTGATAATCAAGCAGAATTAAGCATATGGGGAATGAAAATGTAATTAACGTACTTGCATCCATATGCCAAAATGTCTTGTGTTCACACTAAAATATTTATTTTCTGCAGATCCGGGATACAAACATTGAGGATGATGCCTGTTGCAAGCAAAATGCAGGATCATGTTTGTAGAAGCTCTATTTAACGATTTTCTGTTCTGTTTTGATGAAGTATTGATAATGATTTCAGATCTTGAATTTTTAAGCGTACTGCTCAAATCGCTTTCTGTTCCATAAGTGTCCGAAACGTTTTCTTCCTGATTTGGTAAATAGGCGGTTAACTTCGGTCCTGAACACTTTTCTACCGTCACTGCGACTGGAATCGGAAGATAACTGTGCACATACGCCATATATTCAAGCAGTTTATCATAATGACGGGCATGAAAGCGCTGTATTGGATCATCAGTCCAGTTTATTGATAGCTGTGGAGCTGACTTAACTGACTGATTTTTAGGATTAATGCTATGGAACATTAATGTCGAGTTTCCGAATAAAATGGATTGTAAACTTTGCTCTTTGCCACTAATTATGCCTGCTTTCGCTTGCTTATTGTCAGTGAGCAGAAATTCTTTCTTGGTACTAATAATATCTTGTTTAAATAAATCCTCACTTGATATAGAACAACTTGTTTTAGCTTTCATGACAGACATCTGAGAAATTTTATGTGAAAGATTCTGTGAAGAATCCCAGTAATGATCATAAGTGTATGTATTTTTGGCCTCATTCAATGAGCATATACTGGAAATTGACGTGTGTTGGCTTCTTTGATTTGTGACCTCATAAATGATTGGCGTTAACCTGAGATTTTTTCGAAAATTTTGAGGCTTAGAAACTGATCCAAGGCTGCTGCTGGACTCGCAATCACTATGTGAATTCATCTGTACTTCGGACACAGTTATTTCTTCTGCATATTGTTCTGAAGTGTTACCAGTTCCTTCATGATATTCTCTTGAACCACATGAACTATAACTCTCAGGTTGGGAAGAGCACAAGGTTTCATTAGGACCCATGGTTCCAGGTAATGTTTCGTAAGATTCAAACATTTGGGGCGACCTAATACAATAGAAAAAAACAAAATTATTGGTTAGCAACAAATTTTAATACCACTGAAGATGGTTTCAATACAAACAGAAGTTCAAAATGTAAGCACATATTTTCAAATTTTGAGACGTGGTACTCATAAGTGATCTTGATAATAAAAAATACTGTATAAAAGACGTACAATAAACTACATTTCCGCTTATTACATGGTCGTTAGCGTATACGTTTGCTATCAGTGACTCTCTTTCTTGCACTATGTGAAGAAAAATAAGGTCTAAACCAAGAAAGCTTCAAAAATGCGCCCAGGTTTTTCATTAAGTTATAATCGAAACCTTATTTCATGCCATTTCGGGTGACCGCAATTTCACTTGCATAATACAGTTTTGAAATGAGTTGGTTTGACAGGGAAATTTGAAAGTGAACTCTTGAAGAATATTATTCACAGGTTTCAACTGTGTCTTGAAATAATTCGAAATAAATTAGTACCTAATCCTAAATGGTGGTAGATTGCTATGAAATTTTAAGGGAGTCTTAATTTGGGAAATATTCAGACAAAAGTCATCTATGTGAAACAGTCTATGAAAACGATTTTTAATTGTTCCACACAGGTTCATCTGGTATCAGTGAAGTATCTTCTAGTCTTTATGACACTAAAAAATTAATTCCACACACTTATCCCACATTACAAACTCGAACAGACAAATAACAATCGTTGTTATTTCCCAAATTAAGACTCCCTTAAAATTTCATAGCAATCTACCACCATTTAGGATTAGGTACTAATTTATTTCGAATTATTTCAAGACACAGTTGAAACCTGTGAATAATATTCTTCAAGAGTTCACTTTCAAATTTCCCTGTCAAACCAACTCATTTCAAAACTGTATTATGCAAGTGAAATTGCGGTCACCCGAAATGGCATAAAATAAGGTTTCGATTATAACTTAATGGAAAACCTAAGTGCATAGCTTCACTTAGTTAACTGCGTAACTGAGAGTTGATAATGTCACTAAGAGGGTTTTTTAATAATTTAGAATGAACTACTAACTCGTTTCACTACCACTTAACAGACAAGTATTTTATTCTTTGCTAACGATTTTTATGAATGTCTAGTTCACCTTCCTGGCACCAAAAGGCAACTAGGGCTAAAATAAATAGATTAAATTAACTAAATATTAACTAAATAACTTTCTAACTCGTCTCCGGATGCTTAAGATGTTTTATGTTTTGTTCTAACGAGGATGCATCCAAGCAGGTTTCGACGCCATTTTGCGCTCTCTTTGTACTGGTCAACATGCATATCCTCAGAGTCCCTAGTTCAGCCATACTAGCCAGGTAAGTTGGAAAAACACTTACTGTAACAATCACTATTACATTTATTCCATTTAAATATATTGCTCCTTTGAATATGCTCCTGAATACCAGTCCTTTTGATTTGTTTTTCATTATTACAGCTTACACATTAAGTAAGGTACTGAATAAGCAGCTGATAGAGCACATGCAGTTAGGTAAGGTTGGTTAAGCATTGCGTAATAGTAACACAACCAGTCCCTCTATGACTATATGAGAAAATAAATATAGTTGTTATACAAAGTATAAACATAACGAGATGGTAAATATGCTTTAACTGTCAGAACTTAATCGAGAATTAGTTCAATAATCGGCTGAATACACAATATATATATATATATATATATATATATATATATATATATATATATATATATATATATATATATAAAACAAGATAGCACACGATGCACTAATTACCAGGTAACATTCACAACGATACTTGAAGCATGTGCTCAGAAACCTGTTTATTGATTTTTCAGATCGTAAAAACAGCTTTAATGATTACACTCAACTTACAGTTAAACAATCATAATCGATACATACAACAAAATGAAGTTTTCTAAGTAGCCAATAGTCCATAGAAGCTGGTTTTCGCGAATCGGATTTAATCTGTTTGGTGAAAATAATACTTTCGTATTCATGTATCAGGTAAGTTCATCCAAACAGTTACATTTAATAATTATAGGCCTATCATCTAAATACCTCAACCAAATTCTTAGAGGAGTAAGACATTTCGCTGCTGCATTAATGCTCACTGAGTATATGAACAAGTTAGCTACTATTGTGGACACTGGAGATCCAAATGGTATGTCATCTGTCTGTCTCTAAAAATCCCTGAACATAATTCTAGAAACTTTAGAATTTATCTTGGATCTGATGCTCAACATGATCTTCGATCAGTACCTGACAATAGTAGGTTACGAATGATGTCTAATTCATCTCCCATAGGTACACTGCTAAGTAGAGAGCAACCATCCAAAACTGTCATTATTCTGACTATTTTAATGTGAGATGAGATGATTTAGTTCCTGGATTCAGATGAATTCTGTACTACATATTTTAATTTCTTTTCTTGCAGTTTTACGATCCATATGACATGTGCCTTTAAGACTGTTTGTGGGTTTGTCACCGACATATAATTTAGCGAAATACTTATCAGAAATCCTAAAACAGCATGAATCGAAACTGAAATGTATGGTGAAGAATTTGTCTAAATTCGGGAACAGCTTCACAAATATTTTTCTGTAATTTTCCCGAAGAAGCATGGACTAGACTTCCATGCGAAACACTGAAGTGTTTGCAAATATAACTTATTTAACAACTGTTAGAAAAATAACGGGCAAATGAATGATTTCCATAGTATTTTTAGTATACACAAAAGTAGAATAGGCACTAAATACACAAAATCGATCTGAGAAATAGTTACATATGTTAATTGGCTCATCTAATTATAAAACACTGTAGTCTAATAGAACGGCGTTGTACTAGAATTGTTTAACATCTAACACAAAATTTATAACTAGTGCTAATGCATATGGTTTCATATATATATATATATATATATATATATATATATATATATATATATATATATATATATATATGAGAAGAAACAGTGTGAATACACAAATCACATTTTGTAGTAGTATTTTAGTTTAAATAAATCATTTCGCTCAGTAAATGTGTGTTTTACTTCATCATTATGTATGTAGATTTCAACGTGTACATAAATGATGCTTTTCAGTGAAATATTCCCAAGCGTAATTACTGAGCAAACTATCCCCGAATTCTAACGATATTTAACATCTGTGTCGAACTAACAACCTAGTTGACAAATATTTAAAACTTGATGATGGTTTCTTACCACGGACGTTTCTGCAGCATTGCTCGCATTTCGTGGAATCACAGTGTGAGCTATCATGAGGTCAGGTGAAAAGTACTAGGCAAGATGGGCAAGTCGATTGATTAGGTTGTGAATCAGAGTCGACTGAGATGGCTTGAACGTGCACTGCTCATTCCAAGGCACCTGAATGTAGTAAGTTGGAGAAAGTTTGATTATGTTGGAATAGGGTTCAAGGTGTCCAGATCATGATCTGTCACCAATCGATGAAGTCTCTGACTGTTGGTCTGAGTCATGTGGAGGAGATGCAGACTAATTGGCTGGGGTCCTCAAGACGATTGGAAACAGTGGTTGAGGACTGTTGATGATATAGCTGAAAATCATTGACAATGGTGCAGATTTATTCACTCATTGGCATCTTCTAAAGCATGAACATTTGCACTAACCATTGTCTTCAAATTGTCTATTCTCTCACACAACTTTGTCTTCTTTGATATCACTGATTTTCTATCCAGCTGTTCTTTGTTTATTTCTGTGGAGTGTGGCAACTGGAGTCGACGTACTTGTGTTTCGGGTTCCAGGTTGATTTCGTCTGTCTGTCTGCCCGCCTGATGCGTTTGGATATTTCATATAGAGTTTCTTGGTTTTTTCATATTTTGTTATTCAGAAACTTTTGCCAGTCTTGCATTTGTCACTCACATGCACAAAATTTATTGACCGTATATTAAGACGTCCGAACAAGAAAGAAAATTAAAGCTAATTGTTTAATTCATGTAAATCGACGTGGCTTACTGAATGACTGCTATGGTTATAGGTAACATTCACGGACCTGTGTAAATGAAACCTTAACCAACAGAGATCAAGCAATTCGATCCAGTATAGCAACGAAAAATTACATGTGTCGTTATATAATGACTGATGCCGGTTGTATAGCAGTTGGATCTGTTATCTCAGCTGTCTAGTATGTTATACTTTGGCGCTTTATGCGACAGCTGCTGGGTTTCAGTCTTAGTGGGAAAACCACCTCTCACTGCGGTGCCAGCACATTCAGCTGACATATTCCTAATAGGACAAAACGCGCTTCATATATTCAACCGCTAGACACCTAGTAAATTAAAATTAATTCCAGTTCCCAAGTATGGTATTACCTGACTACGGCTTCCTTTCGTTTGCGCTGGAAAGTACTTATATGTGATACCTAAGAAATAAATTTCAGGGTAAAGTTCTCTTTTAAGACATATAATGAAGTTTGCTAACTAAACATCGGTCAGAACAGAGCATGCATTGTAAAAATGGTAGTTACATCCGCAAAAATGTAGATAGGGTAATGAATACTACTTACAATAATGCATATAAGTAGCGTAGCAACGTCGGAATAGATAGCGATCGACTGATGAGAAATTAGACGAAAAGAATATACAATACTGGATTGGAATATAAGCACAAGAGTCATGTGAAATGACACGTAGAAACAAATAATATTTTCGAATGGATAACTTATTGTTGTGTTAAGTATTTTTACCATATTCACTTGTAGCTGATGTATATGTATAAGATCCCGATGGGCAGAAAAATAAGTTTTCGACGTTTCGCGACTTCATGGAAATTGCCTTCTCTGAGAATGTGGTTACAGTAAGTAGAAGATAGGTGTTAATCGCAACGGGAATGACTTAAAACTTATCCCTGATATTTCAATGATTCTACTACTCATATGATAAATGAAAGAGAAGTAGATCTGTCATAAAGCAGGTGTGCAAGATATGGAATTAACTTTGATATGAATAAGAATAATCAATTCTGCGCAAAAAGGCATCAAGTGAGTGATATTGTTTCATTGTGTGAAATGTCCAAGAAACGTGAAACTAAACACTACCGAAGTGCCGAAGACATATTATAACAATAACTTAATTGCACTTGCCAACACCTTTATTCCCAGGGAAATTTTTACGTGATAGTATTACAGTTTTTGTGCCAATAAATTGCCAATATATCCCATAAAAAAGATTCTAACTAATGCATATTCGAAGTTGCCGTGGCTTGCAACATCAGTGATCACTTCTGAACATTTAACTGCCTTTTATTAAATGATACTATTAACTTCATTTTGAACAATGTTTTAGGATACAGCATGGCATTCTAAGCATACAGTATTGCAAAGCGCAAAAAAATAAAAGTAACTTAAGCTACGTATGACTTCTACAGAACAAAGCAATAAGTGTCCACAGTGGTTGTAATAAAAACAGTAGTACTAATAACAGTACAGGTTAGGAATACACAAATAATACCAGGTGATGTAGTAATTATATGTACTGCTTATGACAAAGCTAATAATTACGTTCGTTCTTTCTTCATATAAGACACCAAGGAAATAAAATGCATCGGCAGTTTTGCCTTTAGTAGTAAGTGTACACAGACTTCCAGATGAACCGTAAAATTATTACACTTGGCATCTGTTTTCTTTGCATAAGCTGTTTAATTTGTCCGCGATGAACAGGGCAAGCATAAATGCTCTAAGTTTTCAAACCATATGCATATATGCATACATATTTGATAAAATTTCCAAGTCCACTACCTTAGTCAAAAAATGTTCCAGTGAATTATGACGTGCTATGTAGAAGCAACAATAACCCGCCAAATAGCTACGAAGTTCCTGATTTACAAATGAAAAGTGATTTTCCCCTGAGAAATAAAGAACAAGAGAAATGTCAAATACACGGAGTTATCAGCATGGCTTTCACAGGCGCTACCCTTTCTAAGCAAACGTCACAATCAGAGAAATTTAGGTTAAGTTCAGAGACACTGTCCTCTGTTGTTCCCCATATATATATATATATATATATATATATATATATATATATATATATATATATATATATATATGAACTGGCGAATATCATGAAATCTCCCTTGGTTCTTTTCGATGACGATTTAAAAAACTGGCGGGAGATCAGGAATGATGAGGATGTAAGTGCATTTAGCGTCACGTAATTCTCCAGAATTAATAACTTGGGGTTCGACAAGATTCAACATTCATGCTGACCTTCATGGTTTTATCAGACTCGCTAAGATGAAGGCACACTGTCAAGCCTGAACGCCATTTGGCATGCTGTCGTGTTACATTGCGCTGCTCGTAACTGACTATCTATCCAGCTAGGTGAAACGAATCGGTATCTATCACTGCAGGTAAATGTGTGAGCATGCACATGGGACATATATAACAACACCTACGGTATTGGTGGGACTCCTCTACCATCAGCACTAATCCGCACTGACATAAGAGTCACAGTGAGATGTGATTTGAAAACCATGGCACACTTAGGTTGATGGCATCTCGGAGTTTTAGGGCACTTCGGACATTAGGCAGAA